AGGAAAGTAGTCTCTGTATGTTGTGGATGATGTTGTATTGGTGCGTGGTTNTGTGTTGTTGTTGTTGTCGTTGTTGTTGTGGTTTTGTGTTGCTGTTGTTATGTGATGTGTTGTTTTTTGGTGTGTTGTGGTGTTTTTTTCTGTGCCTTCTTTCATGAAAGTCAGGGCACGTAAATTTAACTTGGCATTAAGTCACGTTCTGTTTACCGTGTAAGTAAATTATTTCGCGAACGAGTTGTTATTGTTTGTTGTTCGTGTTGTAGTTGTTGTTGTTTACGTTGATGTTGTTGGTGATGTTGTTGGTGATGTTGTTTGTTGTTGATCGTGTTGTTGTAGTTGTTGTGAATGTAGTTTATATATTTTTGACGAGAGTATTAATGTTGATGTCATTGTTGATGCGTTATGTTGCTGATGTTGTTGCTTTTTGTAACTCAAATTTTGTAGTTAAAATTTTCGTAATGTTAAAACTTTGTCGTTATATTAGAAATATTTTGAATATTGGTGACATGTTTGTTACATTTGAATTTTGAATTAATTTCTTTTTCTTATGCTTCATTAAGCACTGAATGTTATTACACGAAGCGAGCAACACAAGAACAAAACGAGAAATACTTGTCTCTCGTTATGGATCGATACTTCAAACGTCAGCCAAAAACAAACCGCTTCATATTTCCATTATAAAAATACATCCACAACATTCTTACCTAGAAAATTTAAGTGCTTGACTCAGTGCACATGTATGTACGTGTGTATGTGTGGTATGTGTGTGTTTGTGTGTGTGTTTGTTTGTTTGTTTTGTTTGTATGTTTGCTTGTTTTTTCTTTCTTTTTTTTTCGCTGTTTCATATTGTTTCATTTGTGTTCAAGTCTACAGATAATAACAAACAAACACACACACACGCAGACACACACACATACACAGACACACACAACATAAGGTTAAAAATAGAACCTGAAAAACAACAGAACCTTGCCTAATATTTTCAAGGCACCTCTTTTTGACAAACGATTGCAATATATACATCTTTAAGCCGTTCAACAACAACAGCAACATCTACCTACCTGTATACCTACCTACCTATCTACATACATACCTCACTTCAACCTGACAACAACACATTCTATCTCTCCATCACTTTATTAACTATCCAAATTATTTTCATATAATTTTTCTCGGAAAAAAAGAAGAACCACCCAACAAGGATAACAATGAACTGACAATTTAATGATGACAATAGAGACATAATATACAGTAGCGAGATGTCCAATTTAAAATACGGGGACCTTTCATAATTTTTTTTCATTTTTATTATTATTACTATTATATTATTACAACTATTATATTATTATTATTATTATTATTATAAAGTTCCATGGGCGCTATCATTTAATGATAAATTGATAAACACTGTTATAAGATTATCGTATGACATTTACTGTGACAGGAACAAGCTATGATGCTAATTAAATATATTTCACCGTTCTGCACTTAACTTCACAATGAGCAAAATGGTCTTAACCTTTTATATTATTTTATAAAATTTTTACAAATTTTATCATTGCGCATTATTTAATTAACATTAACTTATATATATATATATATATATATATTTATCATTGTTGGTTTTTTATCGTGAAAAATAAAAGATGTTCCCATTATTATTATCAAGTATGGGTTTAAGTAGTGGTAGAAGTAATTAATTAATAGCAGTGTAACCAGTAGCAAAGATAGGTTTTGAAGTATTACAGTGTTTGGAAGTGTAGTAGTAAAGACAATACTTTTAAGATGGTAGAGTTAATACATAGTACACTGTAGTAGTAGAAGCAATAGTAGTAGTAGTAGTAGTAGTAGTAGTAATAGTAGTAGTAGTAGTAGTAGTAGTAGTAGTAGTAGTAGTAGTAGTAGTAGTAGTAGTAAGAGTAGTAGTAGTAGTAGTAGTAGTAGTAGTAGTAGTAGTAGTAGTAGTATCAGCAGCAGCAGTAGTAGTTTTACTACTACTGATAATAATAACAATAATTAAAATCAGCCATTTAATATTTCCAGTTAGAACGTAACATAGGGCACTGGAGCGCTGGCATCCAGAGTAATAACAATTTTCTATTTTCTCCTATCTCAAATTTTATTACAACTCCCATAATTTTGGATATTAAAGTCATAAATAATAATAATAATAAAAATAATAAAAAACAAATAATAACAATAATAAAAATGGGAACATCCTTTTATTTTCTAACTCCAAATACCAAATATTAATAATGAAATAATTATAAAATCCTATTTAATCTAAATAATCTAATCTAACCTAATATTTATAATCTAAATAATAATAATAATAATAATAACAATAATAATAACAACAATTCTGCTTACCTGCGTACTCATCTGCGATTTGTTTCTTCAGTATGACGTCAATCTCTTCGTCGACGTCACTTCCGGTGAATGTTCTGTAATACTGGACCGACAAAACTTGGTCGTCATCATAACCACCATCGTCATCATCACCACCATCGTCACCATCGTCATCGTTATTCTCGCTGTCGTCATCATCGACGCCACCCTTGCTTCCAACCTCGTCGTCGTTATTAATTTCGCCGTATGTAATTGTTGAATGGCCGTTATTAGCGTTGTTATTGCTGTTACTGTGGTTATTATTATTATTATTGTTTTTATTATTATTTTTGTTTTCCTTATTGGTAGTTGTAACGCCATTGGTATTATTGCTCAGTTTATGGTTATTGCCCTGTAAAATTTTTTCATTCGAAATTTTATTATCATTATTGTTGATGCTGTTGTTGTTGATGAGATTGTTGTAGTTGTTGCTGTTGATGTTGTTGTTGATATTGTTGTTGTTATTATTATTGTTATTATAATTTTTGTTGTTGTTGTCAACTTTGCTAGCACTGCGGTTATTTCTAATGCTACGATTTTTACTATTTAACATTTCTTTGTAAGCCCTAGGGCGATCGCTCTTATCAGAGGCCTCATCATCGTCATCGTCATATTCAACGTCATCGTTGCCCTCACCTTTGTAGTAGACATCGTCATCATCGTCAGTATCAGTAAAGAACTCGGAAGAGTATTTTTTATCTTTGGTTACTTCCTCATTCAGCCATTCATTTTTGCGATTGTTGGTGCTATCAACACGGTTACTACTATCATTATTACTACTTCTACTGCTGCTGCTGCTGTTGCTGCTGCTGCTACTATTATTATTATTATTATTATTATTATTATTGTTTATTGTACTACTACTACTACTACCATCACTGCTGCTAATAAAACTGTTGATAAATTTTTTGTCTCTGTCGTCGTTGATGACGTCATCGCTATCATCGGCGTCAGCAAAAGTTCTATCAACCATAGAAGCAGAAGAAGTATTATTATTATTATTATTATTATTATTATTATTGTTATTATTATTCCTATTTTTCCGACCGACAGCACTAGCATGACCGTTGCGATGTTTTCCATTCTTCGTCTTCCTCTCCCAGTCCTTGACGATCGTCTCGGCGACCATGTGGCAGAATGGAGGCATCATCTCGCTGAAGCCGTCTCGATCGTAGATAATCTTCAACTTGCTCCACTTGAACTTCCTCATGAGGGCCTTCATGGCCCTCGACAGCCCCTTCAGATTGATCGGCCCCACACGACTCAACGTATGATAAGTGGTGGATCTGTTCAGGAAGAAGTCCCAGGCGATTGCCCCGATGCTGACGATTGGAACGTTCCAGAACGCCGCCTGGCGGGATATGGGAGCGACCGCAAAATCGCAAACTGGACCGAAAAATGCATGGGCCATGTTGGCCGTCTTAACTTTGATGGCTTCGTTCATGGCGTAGCTATCCAGACAGCGAGAGTCGTAGTAGCCGAGGCTGACGGTGTGGCAGGGCAGCCAGGTGCGGAAGTGTTTGCGAAGGATGGATGGATCGGGACGGAGTTTGGATATGGAGAATGGTCGGGTGTTGTCGGATGGGAGGAGGATGGCCAGGTGGACTGTTTGGATGGAGCTTTCGTTGTCATGGATGTTGTGTTTGGCTGGGTCGTTTGTCTTTCCGCTATAAATTTTGTTTTTGTTGTTGTCGGAGTTTGAAATAGCAACAACGACGTTATTTCCGTTCGTGGTTGAACCGACGTAAGAAGAAGCAGTTGATGTTGTTGTGGTTGGTTCAAAAATTTGAGAACTTGAAAAAATTAGATAAGGGCAAGGTTGTCCCTCAAAGACGTCATAACCATGATTGTTCGTATGGATGTCGTTGTTTGACGCATACCTTCTCTTCCTGCTGTTTTTGTTGTTGCTTATGTTTCTATTGTTGTTGTTGTTGTTGTTGCTGTTGTTGTTGTTGATGTTGTTGTTGTTGTTGTTGATATTGTTGCTATTGATGTTATTGATGTTGTTGTTGTTGTTAATGATGTTGTTGCTGTTGATAATGATGTTGCTGTTTTTGATGTTGTTGTTATTGATGTTGTTTTTGATGTTGTTGATGTTTTTATTGTCACCTTTATCTGATCGATTGACAGTTTTATCGTGGCGTTTGTTAGCCCGCGCATTTGCATGAATGAGTGTGGTGACGACGGCGGCGACAACGACGATGTGAAGCGCTGACGGCATTTTGGCGATGATGGTGGTAGAAAGGATGGTAGTGGTGATGATGGGGGTAATGAGATGCAAATAGTTGTGGCTTAACTTGAAAAATTATTCACGTTAAATATAACATCCTAGTAACGTACGTTTTCTTAGTGGCATAATTTTGAATTACAATTTTTATAATAAAAAATAAATTTTATATTGAATGACTTCCAATTTTTATGAAATTTTATTTGACATTGTTTGGTATATTAAATCATTCTCACAAAACACAAACGTCGCATGAAAAAACGAATTTTATTCTATTTAAAATAAATAATTTTTAGCATAAAAACATTTTATCATTTATAAAAATAATTTAGACTTTGAGAAATTATCCAAATTAAATCATTTTTTGCGCAGTTCTGGCTAGATGTGACTGAGGCAACTCTAGACTGGGATCGAAAGCAGTTTTATAAGCAATTTAACACACACACATACATGCATACATACATGCATAATGCTATATATGTATGTATGTATGTATGTATGTATGTATGTATGTATGTATGTATGTATGTGTGTGTGTATGTATGTATGTATGTATGTATGTATGTATGTATGTATGTATGTATGTATGAATGTATGCATGTATGTATGTATGTATGTATGTATGTATGTATGTATGTATGTATGTATGTATGTATGTATGTATGTATGTATGTATGTATGTATATATGTATGTATGTTAAAACAAAACATGATGAGTGACACTGTAGTTGATTTTTACATAACAAATGGATTAAAACTTTGATTTGTCGTTAATTGCACATGTCGGCATTCAGTTGGTTATTTTCAAGCACACAGACACGCAGGAACCGCTGCAACAAGCACGAAATGTGGTTAGTTGCGAAAAACAGTTCCCTGCTGTCGCCTGATCTGACGCTGATCATTTTACATATTGCCTTAAAAAATTTAAGGGTGTTGGGGTCCATCGGGCCGAGAACCTCGATACATATTGGCAAGAATTATTCTAAATGTAATTACATTATTTTTGGTCCGAAAATTTTAACAAATATTATACCTAACCTAGACATAAAAATGAACAATATTTCTATTCCTCGCTCAACCAGCACAAAATTCCTTGGAGTAACAATCAAGGACAATCTTTCTTGGGATATTCACATAGATACTATGTCTAAAAGAATATGCAAAACCCTAGGAGTTAAAAGCAAAATTAAAAATAAATTAAATAAACCTACTTTAATTGACCTGTATTATTCGTTAATCTTTCCTCACCTCATCTACTGCAACGTAATTTGGGGAAACAGTCCTGACATTCATCTAAAACAGTTAACAAAATGCCAAAACCGATTCATCAGAATATTTAAAAATCTTCATCCTCATTGTCACACAAGTGAATATTATCTCGAGATGAAAATACTCAACATCAAAAACTTGTTCATCTACCACGTTACAACATTCATTTTTAGATTTCTACGTCAGCAATTGCCGGCATTTTTTAGAAACTTTTTCACTTTTGGAACTTCCATTCAAGCAAGAACTACACGCCACACGCCACTTTTCTATGCTCCACCAGCCAGAATTAAAGTACTCTGCATGAGTTTGAAACATACCGGCCCAGGAATATGGGAGACGATTCCACAAGAAATTAAAGATTGTAACACTTTGCATCTTTTTCAAAATAAACTGAAAAATTTTTTAATTCCGAAAAGTTCTGTTTTTCAAGGATAATAATGTATATGTATATATATGTATATAAGTGTGTACATATTTCATTAACATTGATACATTTTCTCCTATTGACAATTTTATTTTATCATTGAGAAGCAATTTTGAGCTGCACGGTGGCCGAGCCCACAAGAATTAATTTTCTTTTTTTGGTCTCCGAATCATTCATGCTTTTGTTTTGTTTGATTGAATAAAAGTGATTTGATTTGATTTGATTTGAAGAATTCCATCGAGGGGAGGGCGTTCCCATATTTTTTCATTTTCTCGTCCCTGGCCGCGGCCAAACCGCATTTTTTACTTGTCAGGTTTACATATCGTTCGGCGAGGGTGCCAGGGACGGACCGTAACATCCCACGCCAAACATCTGCCGGCTCTCCAAGGTATTAGTGTGCATCCGTCCGGGCGCCTACCATCATGCGCAGAAATGCCGGATGGTTCCTTGAGAACCGGGATTGAAGCCTTGGAGAAGAGCCGACAAATGTATTCGTTTAGCGCTGAGTGACGTAGTTGACGGCCCCCATGTATGTATGTATGTATGTATGTATGTATGTATGTATGTATGTATGTATGTATGTATGTATGTATGTATGTATGTATGTATGTATGTATGTATGTATGTATGTATGTATGTATGTATGTATGTTTGTATGTTGTATGTATGTATGTATGTATGTATGTATGTATGTATGTATGTATGTATGTATGTATGTATGTATGTATGTATGTATGTATGTATGTATGTATGTATGTATGTATGTTTGTATGTATGTGTGTATGTATGTTTGTGTGTTTGTACATATATATAGATGACGGGTTATAAACTTATTTATTATAGCGTGACGAAATGATTGATTGGCTTTTTCATTCATCTCCTTTGTCGCTATATCATTCATTATTTTTTAACTGCTTACTTTTCATCTCTTTGAGTCTGTTTTGCTGATTGGTTTGTTTGTTTGTTTGTTTGTCTGTCTGTCTGTTTGTTTGTTTGTTTAGTTAGTCGTTTGGTTGGTTAGTTGGTTGGTTGGTTGTTTAATTGGTTGGTTGGTTTTGTTTGCATGTTTTTTTTGGAAAAGTACATCTCTGTTTTGTTTGTGTGCGTTTCACACTGGTTTTGTATGCGTATGTACATGTGTGCGAGTGTATGTGTTTATGCATATGTTTATGTAAATATGTGTATGCTTGTATGTACATTTATATGTCAAAAATTCTTTTTGTTTAGTTGTTGATCAATTGCTAATGTTATTGTAAGATGACCTACATTGTATAGCCCTGCGCGGTTTGCGGTTGTCGCGGTTTAAACCGCAAAAACCGCAACCGCGGTTTTTTGCGATTGCGGTGCTTATTTTATGCGGTTTTACGCGGTTGCGGTTTTGAAATGTGCGGTTTTTCCGCGGCGCGGTTTTTTTTATCAAAACCGCGGTGACCGGAAAAATTTTTGTTCGTCCATAACATTTTAAAAATTGCATTATCATTGTAATAATTTTTATATATATTGTCTTTGAAAAATCTCAATATCTTTGGAAGCCGTTGAAGCAACGGCTTTCTTTTTCCTGTTTACTTTGAAAGAAGTAGTTATTTTATTTACGGCGTGGTTAATTATCGATTACTTTATAAAAATTTCCGAGGTAAAAAAATGTTGAAGTTGATCCACAGGTAGAATAATTGATAAAGAATTTTTGAATAAATTGATGCTGTTCAAAAGCGAAAACGTTTCTTTAAAAGCGCAAGAAAATTCTAAAAGTGAAATTTGGAAAAATTTTAACAGAATTTATTTTAAAAAAATGGCTACATCATTTATCTGTTGTAACAAATGTGAAGCCAAATGTGTGTTAAAACAAGATCGGAACACGGATGTAGATAGTTGGGATTTATAATGTCAATAAAAGCATTAATGTTGTTTTCCATTTCTTGCGGTTGCGGTTTTCGGCGGTGCGGTTGCGGTTTCAAATGTTGCGGTTTTGTGTGGTTGCGGTTTCAAATGTTGCGGTTTTGTGCGGTTGCGGTTTTTGAAAATTCCAACCGCGCAGGGCTCTACTACATTGTTTTTTTTTATTACAATTATTTTTCTCGTTCGTTTATTTCTCTACAGTTATTCATTAATTTCATTTATTCATGAGTTGAATTAACCATTCGTTCTTTCATTCATTCATCCATTCATTTATTCATTCATTTTTCTTTCTTCATTTTTTTCTCTTTTCATTCATTCATTCGTCTATTTTTCTATGCACTTAACTGCTTAAGACTTACTTAGCGTGAAGCCGGTCATGAAGAAATGCATGAACATCATTCATTTATTTATTCGTTCATTCATTCAATCAATCACTCATTCATTCGTTCATTCATTCATTCATACAATCATTTTAGTAATTTCAACTAACAAATCTTATTCCAATTAAACTTTTTCATTAAGCTATTGATGAACAGTGTGACACAAACACACAACACACACAGACAGACACACACAGACGGGCACGCACACACACACAGACAAACACACGCACACACACAGACACACACATAATATTGATAACAAATAATAATAATCATTAACCATACTACTTACTAACGCACGTGTACTGATCCAAATAATCTTGACGATGATGTTGATAATTGAGAAAATGATAATTTTGATAGCGATGGTTGTGAGGTGCTGAGAGAATGGTTAAAATAAGTATGCTAAATGTCTACCTTTTTCAATCCTCTTACAAAATCTTCTAAAATATTCTTATATCGCTAAGCTGTACAAAAAAAATTTTTTTTCTGACTGTTAAAATTTTTTTTAAACTTTCATTTTTTTTAAACGCTTTTCGAACCTAAGCATCTTTCGCTTATGTTTACCAAAAAATAGTTTTTATTTTGAAAGTTTTTTATGCGTGCGTGTGTGATGATGTGCGCGCGAAACACGACACACACGCACACAAACGCACGCACACGCATGACACAACAGGACAGAATACCACGCAGTACCGTGTTGACACTCGTCCTTTTATACATACAATAGAATGTTCGATTGATTCATGGCAGTCCTCTCCCGATCATGAGTTGATGTTTTAATCTCACTAGATACAATGTGGGTGGCTGCCAGCTGGATGGATGAATGGATACCAGCTTCAGGTGAGTGATTGTTCCATGTTAATGAATCTCCATCTGTCTTCCTTCCCCCCGCCCACGTATGTTGTCTAAGTTCATTTACTATATAACACCAACGGCCCGGCTGCCTCGATGTAGTTTTTTTGTTTGTTTATCTCAAGAACTGTTTTCCCACTTTGTTTTGCACTTTTAAAATTTAATTACAAGACTTTAAAGTGGAGCAGAGAAGTAATTTAATGGATCCTAATCAAGTTAGACGATGTGATGTGGAAATGAACGAACGTTTCGATGTTTTCAACGTTAATTCCATTGGCCGCCAGCTAATCTGCAATTGCGCTTCACAACGTGCAGAGCTCTCCGTTCCATTTGCACGAGTGGGTTCACGCTATTTAAACATTTTAGTATGCCTGTGCGTGCGTGCGTATATGCGTAGAAGTACGTCTCGTTCAGAACATTTTTCAACAACCACGAAAACAGTATGGAATTTGATACAAAGCTAATCCTCTGCCAACACACTCATGCGGTTGAAACTTCAAAACTCAACTTATTTGGTTAGATTCGGGCACCAATAACCTACTTATGCAGAAGTGGACAAATTAACGCGTTTTCATCGTTAAAAATAGGTGTGTTATGAGTACTTAAACAAGCAATATTGTAGAGGAAAACACATTTTCTTTCAAATTATCATCAAAATGTTCACACTTATAGTCAAAAACGACCGAAGAAAATGAAAATAATGTTAAAAAATGTAAAAAAGCTACGAGAAGATATGAACAACGAGATTCTAAGGAGTAATGCACATATAAGAATTATCCTCACACGCTCTCAAGGTAAAATATGAACTATATCAATAATAATAATAACATTAATAATAATAACAATAATAACAAACAACAATAATAAAAATAAACATTACCAAGACTAAGCATATGTAAATGTAAATCTCTTGTTAATCAATTTATTTGCGCTACAGCCAACGGGATATCTTAAAAAATAGAAATTTAGAATTTGAAAGTAAAAAAAGAAATCTATAAATTAAATGTATAAAAATAGATATATCAACGTGTAAAATATTTCTCGAAAAAACTTAAAATAGTAGGCGCTACAAAAGTCATACAAACTTTTAATGAATTTAATATATAAAACATGAAAAATAAAACAAAATGACATAAAATAAGCAAGAACAAAAGAAATACAATCCTCTTCATAACATTAACAATAATAAATTCAACAAAAGCAATAAAAACAATAACATTAATAATAGTAGCAATGATAAAACAGTCAGTAAAGCAATAACAAATAGATATCTATTATTAAATTAAATTTTCCTAAATTAGAAACAAAAAAAGCATTGAAAAATGTTATGTTATACCATGTATTGTTGTTGTTTGAGGTATATGATGTACCGGTGAAGTGCCTGGAAAATCATTGCAGTGACAGTATTCAATAGCAGAGTTCATCGCCTAACATCACATGTGTATGTGCGTGCGTGTGTGCGTGTGAGCGTGTTTGTGTGATGCGTTGTTTTACGTGTGTTTACACGTACTATGTGTTTGTCGTTGTTGGTGATGCAAAATATTGTTGAGAGAATAATAGTATATACATGTGTATAAATATACATACATAACTGTAAAATCTTTTCTTAAATTGTCCTGTCGATAAAAATCTGATGAATAACATCTCATCAGACGAACAAATATCTCTGTTAGCATTATCAAAATAATTTCTGTATTATTACTATTATTAATATTATTATCATTATTATAATTATAGCCATCAATCATAATATTTTATAGCTTTTGATACAATCGTCACCAATCAATTGGAAGAGCTGTGTCACTCTACTGTTAGCACATAATTATCATTTTGTCGTGATTTAATAATATAAATAAAATCAATAATAATAATAATAATAATAATAATAATAAATAATCATTATTGTTAATTTATGACCAATAGCCACAATAACGATGATTAAATGAATATTATAACCATTCGAATGACAATTTCGTCATTTATAATCAATAGACATTACATCTACTACTTCTGCTACTACTGCTACTACTGCTACTACTACTACTACTACTACTACTACTACTACTACTACTACAACTACTACTACTACTACTACTGCTGCTGCTGTTATTTACTACTACTACTTACTACTACTACTACATCAACAACCACACATCAACAACCACACATAAACAACCACACATCAACAACCACACATAAACAACCACACATCAACAACCACACATCAACAACCACACATAAACAACCACACATCAACAACCACACACATCAACAACCACACACATCAGCAACTACACATCAACAACCACACATAAACAACTACACATGATCAAACTCTCGTCAACTCTCTCTCACTCTGATCAACCAGAGTTGAAAAATTTACGTTATCATCCCTACCTCTTTTCTTAAAAATAGACTGCAAACTCTGCCCTATTTTAAAAGTTTGCCTTGACAGTGACCTACTGGATGGCCTTGACATTGACCTATTGAAGATGTACGGAGTACCGTACTTATCCATCAAACATTTTATGATACCCAACACGCCAATTATGACTACAGCTATAGTGACGAAGCTGATGATGACGATGGAGAAGGTGGTCAGAGAGTGTATTGGAGGATCTGTTGGAATAAATTTCTCACTTTAATTTGAAAAGATTTTTAGAATTCGAATAATTTTTAGTTGAAAATCGTTGCTAGTTAAGTTGGAAATGTGTATGGATTGGATGAAATTGGAAAAGTTAACAATGTAATAATAAATATATATGCCTTTTCTAATAGTATCAATGATCATAAGCCCTATCTTTCATTAATTTTAATATGGATACATAACAATTCAAAGAAAATATTTCTTTATAAATTTTTTAAATTATTCATTCTTTCATTCTTATATTCGCTTACTTTGCAAAATATTTTTGTATGAATTTAGTCATTAATTAATTCATAAATTCATTCATTTGTTCATTCATTTATTAATGAAGTTAAAATTGAGGAATTTAAATAAAATTCATTGAAATGTTTCTAGAAAGATAAAAAAACTAAATGGCCAAACCATGGGGCAGTAGAACTCGATCATGTTCGAACCATCTTGATGCAATAAGAAAGTCTGCAGATTCTTTCACAAACATTCCATCATTTAGGAACATTTTTACAAGGAACCAGTAGGGTAAATTGTAGTCTAAATCCGTCACCAGGTGGCAGGTTTTGTTTGGGTCCAACTCGACGTATGTGTGACTTTCAATGTTGTGTTCTTGTGAGGATTTTAATAAAAAAATGATGTTTCAGTGATTAAAAGATAATCAAATTCTATAACATCCATGGTTCATTTCAAATCAAATTACTGAATTAATATTGAATTAATATTAAAGTTAATAAGCCTTTGTAAAACAAATAAATGTACGTACATGCATAAACCTTAAGCCTACAACTACATTCATGTTTCCATTAGCAATAATGATAAAACTATAGTAATAGAAAAATGAAATTTAGCCATTGTTTGAAAAAGAAATAGTCTCCAGGCAAGGTTATAAAGACAAGACAAACTTGTGGTAATAGGAGCCCATGTGATGACATACCCACAAAAGTTGTTGGTGTTTGCTATGCTCGGTTCATCCCAGATGATTTCAATGGCTGTAGTGTTGATGAATTTGCATTTCAGGTTGAATTCAAGTGTCTTTATGGTGATGGTGATGGCTGATGGTGACTCTGATGAAAAAATATTGTGCTATTTATATTTGATACAATTTAACTGAAATTTGTGAGCCTATCATGAGTTACTTTGAAAAAAAATGTAAAAAATTTCAGTACAGTCACACACTTTTTGTATGGTCAACACACTTTTCAACTGTATCAACAGCATATTTAGTTTTTTCATCTTCATCACTACCATTTTTATCATTATTTATAGCGTTTTTATTGTCATCACCTACAATATTATTATTATAATTTTTATCATTATTAAGTATGTTATTGTTGCTATCATTATTATTTTCATTCTCAGCTAGCACATATGAATTCTCATCATCTTCTTGTTCCTCTTCATCTTGCTGGTGGTAAAGCAGGTCTTCTCCAGCCAAAACCATTTTTTTATTAAAATTAATTATGAAAAAATTCAAAAAAATTATTATTAAAGAAACCAGGCAGCGATTACGATAATAAAGAAACATTTTTCTAAATTAAATTTTCCCAAATAAATGAAATTAAGCTCAAATTATAAGGAAAATTCAATCGCGATTTACACCTGTATTAACGTCAAACAATTATGATACACCGTTGTTAAGAAAACTAAACTAAAACAAGGCAAAAAATCGATGAAAGATTCTATGGACCACTCCCATACATTTTAGAGTCAAATATTTTATTTGTGGAATAAATTTTAAAAGATTAAATGAATCATATTAAAAATATTATTAAATAAAAAAGATGAAAATGTTAATTTAAAGTTAAAAAATGTCTACGTAGGCCCCAACGTAGATGCTGTCCTCTTGAACGAAGCCTCCTTCCATCAAATCTTCTAGCAGTATAAACTTTTGGAAACCTTTTCATGAATTAATGTGAAATGATTTAAGAAAAACAATCATGCAACATATTGATTGAACAAAAATTTAACATTTTAATGCGTATTTCTTCAATTTATTTTATAAATAATACAAAGTTATTCTTTAAAATTCGTACACTACCTATGTTCTTATTCCTTTCTTCGACTGGTCTTTTTAGAAAACTTTCATTAGCAGGATTTGAAGATGGGCTGAAAACTATGAAATGATCTCTGGATTCAAAATCTGCAGTTGTAGGTGATTCCGACGAATTTATTAATGAAAGAATTGATGGCGGTGCTGACGTTGATTTGATTCCTGCAATATTTCTAGCGTTTGATGGTGGATTGTGTTTTAGTGGTTGCTGCTGTTGTTGCTGCTGTTGCTGCTGCTGTTGCTGCTGTTGCTGCCAATGTTGTTTGATGAATTTCTGATTAATTATGGTGAACGTGATGTTGTGATTAAATGGCCACGAAAGAAGAAAATCTGAAGATCCTTTCAATAGGCAAAAGAATAGAGACAAGTAAATGTTCTGCACTGAAATGAAATATTTTTCGTAATAAAATCACGTTCATATACTCGAATTATTTATTAATAGCATGTTTAAAATATTAATCTATATGGTATAAACAAGAATGTCGGATGAAAAATATTCGACTCCAACTCGGGCCCTCAAAAATTCCGACTCCGGCCCAAATCTCCAAATCCGACCGACTTCAATTAAGACACTCTGGTATAATCGTGAATGTATTGCCCACCTTTTGAGTCACCATTAGGCAACAAACTGATTTGCATCTTGTAGCCGTTACGATGGCTATCAAACGCTGGACTCTGAATCATCAGTTTTTTACCTAGTTGTTTCACAAAATTTTGATTGTGACTTAATTATTTCTACAGCTATTTATGTCTGAACAAACGATATTATTAAAAAAACTTTGATTTAATTTCATTTAATAAGAAAGCCATGAGGTGTTTAAAATAAAATAGTAACTAATGATCGGATAATTATTGATTTGTTGTCGATCAAAACAACCATATTAAAACTATAGTTCAGACATATGAATCGATCAAGTCAAAAACTTATTTAAAAATCGATCTAACAGCCAGTTAAGTATTTATACAAATACTATTTAAATAGCTTGACCTTCTTTAGCTTCTTGAAGAACATTGGAGAAGTTTCTAACTTTCCAGAGCAGTTGATACGTGCCACAATATTTTCCCACCCTTGCCATTAGATCATCAGTCTTACAATTTATCATTAAATAAATTTACTAATTCTTGAATAATATTGTAAATTTTAGTATTTTCTAACAATTTTCTTCTTAATATTTCTAAAAAGGTATCAACAACAAAACAGTCAATTTCTGCAATTAAAATACACGTGAATCAACTTACTCACCACAGACGAATTGTGGGTGATGAACTTAGTTCTTGCACAAACTCTAGATTACACCAAACCATATTAACCAAGCCATTTTACACATAACCATTTTTAAAACAACATAAAATAGTAAGGAAAACAGACGAAAATTATTAACGTATCGATACATGTGACGTTAAACATACCTTGCGGAATACGTTAGTTAATGATGTCATTCTGGCTACCTGATTAATTTCGCATTCATTCACTTTCTTCCATACTGCTTGCAATTCATGGTTGATTCTACAAATAATAGAGGTTAATTATTTTTCAATATTTTTAGAATTAGCTTATGCTCTAGTTAGTTATTTTTAATTTGTAAGTTAATCTTTTTATTAACATTTTCGATTCATCTTCTTCCGTTTGAGTGTCGCCATGTTTGAATTCAATTTCTTCCTCTTCGATCGACAGGCCGTTTTTTAGATTTTGTTTCTTTATTTGGTGTTTCCTGATTAAATTGATTTCGTAACTTTTGATGAAAGCATTCATTTTTCTTCTCCTCTCTCCCTCTTTTAAATCTACGTCCGTCAGATCGTTCACAAATGAAATCAGATCCATAACTGATTGAGTTTATTATTTATTTTATTTTGTTCATTGTAACAATCTTTAATTGATGTTTTTGCATTATTTTGTTATTTATTCATGTCACATTTATAAATAAATTTAAAATTTCGAATTAGCAGCTTGCTTGCTTGGACTTTTCTCAACTTGGATATTTTTTCACTATGAAAGAAAATCCTCGCATGTTTACGTGAGATATTAAAACAACTTTAATCAATACATAAACTGCAAACATTTTTTTTTATTTTTTATTTTTTTCTCTTTGTGTTCATGTAACTACCGTCAACAAACAGGTGAAATTAGAATGAAACATTGCTTCGTTGCATGGCGTGTGTATTGTTGACGTTGAATCAATGAATGTGGAGATTATGACAATGCGTTTGAATGTTTTATATTCAAACTTTTTTGAGATCCCATCACCTCTGTACCCATTTTAATCTGATCAAATTGCTCGAGCCAGACGTAAACGAAGGTTTTATCAAAAAGATTAATTTTAAATCGTTGTTATGTATAACCCATTTAGTTCTTTTTTCAAACTGAACTAAATATTAAACTAGTTGGATTAATTTATTTTCATCTAAATATTTGAAAAATGTTAAAAAAGCTATTGAGTTTTCAAAAAAGTATAAAATATTGATAAAATAATATCATTGTATTATGAAAATGAAATAAATTCATTTTATTCTAAAAATTCTATTTTATTACGAAAAATCAAAGTTAAACAAGTTATAAGCAGTCATCAACATTGTCATCATATTTCAGCCAAATGTTAAATGCTTCGTTGTTATCACATTTCAGTCCCATGTTAAATCCTTGAGACGTCTACCAAAACCTTAATACATATGCAATCATTTTCAACGAACCCACCTCCGTATAAATCATTGAGAGATATGAATTCCGATATACCTTCAAAATATTGCATCACAATTATAATATAACTAACTTGGCATAATTAAAATTATATTGTTTAATTTAAATTAACAATAATATTATTAAATTTGTGCTTATTTAAAAATATAACTTATTATTAATTCTTTATATCGAAGTTGGCTAAATTTGTAATGAATTTAGTAAGAAATTTTTTAAACAACCAAGACTTTTGTTTTTCTCCTCTACTGGTTTTTTAAAATATTCTTCATAACTCTGGTCAGACTTCGGATTAAACATGAAGACATGATCATTGAGGGAATGTGATGAAAGTGGTATTGATGCTGCCGATGGAAATGATAAAAATGTTGCGGATGTTGGCATGGAAGCAAATGATGGGATCTCTGTTTTTGTCAAATTTGCTTTTTTCGCGTGTTCGCTTTCGAAGGTTTTCACGATTTCGTCCGAATGGTTGTGCTGCTTTTGTGAATGCTCTAGCTGTTGTTGTAGTTGCTGCTGTTGTAGATGTTGTTGGCGTTGCTTCTGGTTCTGGCAGATAAGAGCGAATGTGATTGGACACTCAAATGGCCAAGGAAGGAATGAATCAGATGCACCCTTCATCACGGTGATGAACATGGAGACGTGGGTGTGTCGGGCTGGTCAGGATCAATAAGTGCGAATAAAAAATTATATCAAAAATAAAACATTCATCGTTTATATTTACATCGGTTTCACAAAGTTTAATAACTTTTTTACATTCTTAAAATCAGAAATTCAATATATTTTTAAAATGTTTCAAATCTTAACCCTCTCCTTCTCCATTGGGATAGAGATTGAGCTGCATCTTGTACCCATTTCGGTGGCTATCAAATACAGGACTCAATATGCTCACTTTTATGCCTGGTTTCAAAAAAGGAATTGTGATTATGAGCCTTTTATGAGTAAAATCGCCATTTTATTTGCAAGTTTTTTTCTAGTCATAAAATATAACAATATCTTAATTGTGCATATGTTAAACATATATGGTTCCTTAAAAACGATGACTATTTTGCCTTGAACTGTTTTAGTTTAGTAAGATCACTTATTTGCTGATGATTAAATATTGGTTATGGAATTAATTTATTCACTAGTTCATTAACCATCTTTGGCATCCTTCGCAGCTTGATCGAAATATCGAACCTTCCAGAGGAGCTGGTAGTCCCCGCAGGACACTTCCACGTGATGAATCATTCGCTCAATCTTCAAGAAATCATTAATTTGAAATAAGAAATTGATGAGAATGTATGTAAACTGAAGAGAACTAGACAAAATAAGTTGAATGGGCTTTACTTTTTCAGAATATTCTCTCAGTTTCATCATCTTCTTTTCCTGCTCACTTCTGGCATACTCTATCTTCTTCCACAAAATCATCAGGTCGTCGTGCAGACTATCAAAGCAATTCAAACGTTATTAACATCAGAAACATCGCTTACTAGATAATTTCAAACATTAAAAAAATGAACTCAGATTTACATTTTCGATTTATTCTCCGTGTTAACTTCCTTGTTCTTTATTGACTCCTCAGGTTTTTCAACAACCCATGTTCCATTTCTGACCATGTGTTGTGACATAATCTTATCTTTTATGAAATTTACTTCATAATCTTCGATGAATTCATCCATTTTCTGTATTTTACTTTCGTCGTTCAAATTATTGTCGGTTGTTATATGGCTGATAAACTTCTCCAAATTCATCTTTGTGGTAGTGAAGGTTTATTAAAAATTTTGATGTAATTTACAGTTTAATCGATTTAAAACAAAGAACAGCACATGACGCGTCTGTACATGTAGAACTGTCGCTTACGATTCCAACAACACAACAGCAGGTAGCACGCAACGGTATCTAGCACAAACAATCGCACCGCATCACTGTCTGTCTATGTTTGCTAACATTCCTCGTCAATAATATTCTTCTCGAGGTCTGTTCATACTTTTAAAAAATTCTACTTTGACGAACAGCTTAATTTCTCACTTAATTTCACAGGTTACAGCAGGAGCGTAAGATTGAGGGCTAGGTCATAATTTTTGAAACACGTACAGCTTTTGAAAGAGTGCGGTTTTCAGTTTTAAAAAAAATATAACTTCATGAAGACTGACTTTGGATTTGTTTGCTTGTAATACTGGTATGTAAATTATTTAATCCAAAACGTCATTTTAAACAATTTTAACGATTCATCAAAATAAAAAATCGTTAGGTAGATTATTAAAACACTTTTCCAACAAAAAATATTATCAATTCGATGTCGTTTTAAATAAAAAAAAAATGAATATAAAAAACAGTAAAGTAGGAAAAATGATAAATTGATAAAATTTAAATTTCATATATTTGTTCACTCGCATGTAAACACTTGAAGTTCCAACGACTGAAAGTCAAACACACGTGAAACTGTTGGAGAAATATTTATAGAAATCACGAAACAATCTTCTAAAAGGACATCACATAACAACAGTGTGTGTGTGATACAAATACAAAAACCAGCTGACAAAGACGACAGCATGAAAAATTCGATCATACAACCATGCAACAATCACAAAGCCTCCTCGACCAGTCACGGAATAAAAACTGAAATTTTATCCCGAACATCCGCCCTACAGATGGGACATTTTTTGGGAGTGATGATGTTGTCGTAGCAAGCGGAGCAAACGCACATGTGACGGCATGGCATGAGGACAAGCTCCTTGAAGCGCGTCAAACATATGACGCACGGCGAGTCAGCCGGCTGACCTGATTCCGCCAGTATCGACAAACTCGGATTAACACCTGTTTCCGACGTGTCCTTACCAAACAACTTCCATCTCTTTGATAGTCTGTAGGCGATGTAGCCCAACAAGCCAACACCGATGATACTGAATATGTAGCAGGTTACTCTGCATTTCAAACGTTTTTTAATATTTCAAACTAGTGACCAACCAATATTACCCAAATTAAACAATGTTTGATTAAAATAAAAAATTGAAATGACAAATCCCTACCAGAACGTGTAGAAACAATGACGGAATGAACACTGACTGACTTGTAGCACTGAGATCTGCCTCTGATAGACTCAACAACCTGGTTCTTATTCATCAAACTCAGCACAAAGGGGCAGTTGCTATCTAGGGGCGGTCCAATCTGCAGGCCAGGATTCAAACAAAATCCGGTTTTGATCGATACTTGTGAGGTCGGTGTGGTAGTGGCACACACCCGACCGACCGCCAGTAACGTGGCGTCTTCCTTTAAAATTCGTTCTGTGAGGTGATGACCGCGGATTAAGTTGCCCGTGATAACGTCCAGACAGCGAGTCAGAGTGCCCCCGCGGAAAGGTTCGTAGCTGGAGTATACAACGGGCAAGCTGTCCAGCAAGTAATCAGAGTCCATCACGTTCGTCACTTCGATGCAGCCTGCCGCAAGTTGCTCAGGTGCTTCAAAGCAAGGGTTGACCAGGGAGAACCGGCAGGCATCAGTGAATGTCGTCAGTTTGTTTGAAACGTCGTGCCTGGATGGTTCATGAGATTTTCATTTCAATTCAGTTAAAAAAATTATACAGTATTGAACATGCTAAAATTCTATATGAATGAATAAAACAATTGCATAGTTTGTATTAATAAGTGACAACAATACAGTTTAGAGTCAATGTCAGGGTTAATACTCCTCAAAACAATGAAAGTGAACAATTCAAACAATTACAATAGCAAACAGTTAAAAAAACAAACAAAATGAGAAAATTAACTGATGAAAATAGGGGAAAAAGCAATGAACTTGAAAACAAAGAAATCACAAATGATAAAAAAGAACAGAGAAAAAATAATTAGCAATAAACAAAGAACCCAATGACAGAAAAAGCAAACCACAAAAAAATGAACAACAACAAAGAAACAAAATAAAAAGCTGACCATCCAGCAGATGATCTGATGGATCTGTGCTCGAACATCTCACTACAGGTCAGCACACCTGACAAACTTGACTGTACCCCGGTCACAGGATGCTCCAGGGCTTTCACACTCCCAACTATCGTGACATATGGGAGACATTTGTTAGGAGCCTCATTTATTGCATCATTCAACTGCTTGCCTATTTCATAACAGGGGGCTGTCTTTAGAGGAAAAAATTTAGCTTTTTTAAATTAGCTTTAATTGGAAAATTGATTGTGTTAAATTACAATCATACATATAAAATAAAATAAATCAAATCATGATTTGAGTAACTACACTCTACTTCTACTAGTCTGCCAGCTAGCAAGCCTTTCAACACTACTAAACTCTACACATAATTACAAACTTAAGTTAGCATAATTTATAACGAATAAATATTACAAATGAAACAACCGAAATGTAAAATCATTAAAATATAAATTAAAGACAAGTGAACCCAAACGCAAACCGCACTTCAACGAGGTGAGCTTCATGCTGGATAGATTTGTAAGCCCTGTAGAACGCAAACGCTACCAGCGAATCAACTCCTAACAAGATGACATCTAAATAATCTCCTATCGACATTTTTTATAGAAATAAGAAAAAAAAAGAAATCGTTGCTTATACGAATAATTTAAAGTCACGACATTGTTTCATTCATAAACTAAACGGTTCTGTAAATATTAAACTACTGTTTACATTTTAAAAGCGAATTAGTAAAGAAAATGTAAAAGTTAATTCGAATAATAAACTTAATTTTTTTCAGACCACTTAAAACGTCATAATGAATAACTGTTGCTCTTCGCATCATTACAATATAATCGGAATCTAAAGTAATCGGCAACAAATCAAAAATATCGTTTTGTACAGTTATATAAAATCAAGCTTAATGTTACAAGATAAATTACACGTTCGAATCATGTAAGGAAGGCATGCGGCGTTGAAGAGTTATCCTCTGGTTTGCTTTCCAACGAGAATGGCGGAACTCTACATTCGAATGAACTGCCATCTGACTTCTCCATTTTGAAGGTTCCCCTTGTTACGTCAAATAAAAAATTAAACTTATTTCCATCGCCATTACGAGAAGGTGTTCAATTATTTTATATGTCATCCTCACCATAATCATTCCATTATCAACAAATCAAACGAGTGCCTGGTAAGATATAAGAACGATAGAAATAGAAATATAACCAACCACATGTGGCCGCTGGGAGCCTGAAGCGAAACATGACTTGTGTATTGAAATGCCGGCTGTGATTTTGTGAACACTGGTTCCTAAGTGAATGAATATTAAAAGAAGTACAGTTAACAGAGGTTTCAAATCTTGCAATCACACATTGAAAATAATACATCAATACATTCACTTCCATGCCCACCTGTCCAACTATGCCCCGCCCCCTGACGGTTTCCAAGGTTCCTGATAGACTGAATATCCTCCAATGACGTTCTCTCAACTGAACACTCTCATCTCCGAGGTTTTCAATGCGGATACAGTATCGCCACTTGGAAAGTTTAGTGACAAAAATAATGATGATAGCAAAAGAACTGATAAATGAATATAGGAGTTAATAGAAAGATAAGAGGGAACAAACAAAGTAATGACCGGCTTACCCAATAGACACGTGTTTGTTGAACTTCCTGCAATTTAAACAAAACAGAGTCAACACGGCAATTATAAATATGGTGATGAAATAAAATTTTTTTTACAACAAATATAACAACAAATACTCCTCTACTACCACTGCCAAACTGCCAAATCGCTACCAGTAAAAGAACTAACTACATTAATACTTCTTTCACTACCATCATTATAATTATTACAGTAAACTCAGTTCAGAGGACAAACACATCCCCCACCCGACAGAATATCAACCCGAGACTACCACAGCGGGCCCCAAGGCCCAAGTTAGCCAGTGTTGTTCATCAGTTTCCCTAAATTACCCGACTTAGGTCACCGCGATTGAGTGACCTCCTTCTTCTTGCCCTACTTCTGACTCTTTTTGATTGAACTGGAGCCTAATTGGCAGGTTTAATTATTATCACCATTGTCACCATAAAAACACCGTCATCATCGCTATTATTACAAACAACATCATCGTCATCAGGCCATCATCATATTCATCACCATCGGTAGAAAGATTAACGACGAACCCTGGATCCAATATAGAAGGGCATGACGGTGACTCGAATGTTCTTTGTCGTCTCTCTGTGAATATCTGTCAGTTCGAGCCATGCATAGTTCTTACTCTGCCAATCTTGTAAGGACTCTCGTGCCATAAGGACTGATGAGATGATGACGTAGGTGATGATGACGTAGGTGATGGTGATGATGTGATGGTGATGTTGGTCCAGATAATGTTATGATGACAACTGAAATGATATTTGATATTGATGTGACTACAGGCAATGATGGCAAAAAAGCAGTTGTATAGAAAAACTGTGCTGATAAATTTTAATGCTAAAAGGTAGAAGTGATAAGAGATTTATACAATACATACAAAAACTCAATTGATATTCAAAAGAATTCACATAAAAATAAATTTACTATTAAATAAAATAAATACAGAATACATGGCAATAACAATAAATTTGAAAAAAAAACCATGCATATATTATAATTATAATAATTTGTAATAAATTATGCATAAAATATAAACAATAAATCAAACACCTCCATTTTTGACAGCGGATGAGAAAAACTTCTGAAAGAGATGGTTCTTGATGGGCTGCTCATCTGACGTCTTGTAGGGTAGGATGTCTTCATGGGCTATGTAGTCTAAGCCTTCGCGTCAAAATAAATTAATTCAATTGAATTATTAATTATTAATTAATTAATTAATTAATTAGATGATTAAGTATATGAATGTATGTACCGTACACATATATGTATGATATTGTTAGAGGCAAAACAATACTGTATGAAATATGGACTCCTCTCAATATATGTATGAGTGAATGTGTATGTATGTAATTGCACATTGTATGAAAATTGCACGTATAAGCATTAATATACCTGGTATGGAGTATAGAGTACTATTGTTGTCTTGGTTACTCAGGAAAGTCACAGTTTCTGTACCCACTCTCTTTATATGACGATGAGGACGATGAAGATGAGGAAGGTGATGATGGCGATAGTTTTAAATGATGATGATAAAGATGATGATGATAAAGATGATGATAATAAAGATGATGATGGGATAATTAGGAATAATGATGATAATCACAAAATCAACCATCATCACTAGCATCATCACCAATATCATCATTATCGTCATCACTATCATCATCGTCATAACCAACCACATGTGGTGAGTCTCTGGTGTCCATGAGTACCTGGTAGTATGTCAATATTTTAGCCTTGACATCTTTGTTGATTGTAAAGGATGAAGTTGATGATGACCTGAATTTTATTAATTATGATTTTACACTTTTAGAGCTAAAAATATAAATTTAAAATAAATTTAAACCAAAAAAAATAATTTTTTAAATTGAAATGCCAATACCTTTTCAAAACCCTCTTTTAAACTTTATTAAACATTCTTAAATTAAAAATTAATCACAATAGTTACAATCACCTCAAACATAATAAAATTAAATAATTTATTTGAAGAAGGAAAAATAAAACTTTAGTCTAGTAGTTTACTTTTCATCTTTAAATGCAAGATCTCTATCATAAATTTTTCCAATCCATGGAAATAACACCACACCTCTGTAACCAAAGACTTTGTGTAGAAATAACTATAAAAATAAATTATAAATAATTGTTTAAAATAAATTAAAATAATAGGTATGTATATTAATTAATATAGGTATGCATATATCTATATATATGATGTATGTATAAGACTTAATTATACTATATATGTCAAACTTAAAAAATTTACAATGTTTGACATTTTATTCAAATACAAAAAAACAAGATTTTTTCATAATTGAATTTTATAAAAAGTTTGAAGTATAATTTCTTATTTTTCTTTTCTTTTTAGTTTTACAGTAACAAACCTGGCCAGTTTCATATTTTCCTTGGGATTTTGGTGTTTCTAAAACGCCCACTTCTGCCAATCTGTGTTATATGATAAAACATAAAACAGATAATCATAAAACTTTTATTGTTAATCTTAATTTATTAAATTAGAAAATTAAACATAAATAGAAATGGATGAAATGATGAGATAACAGATGATTTTTATAATATAATACAATAAATAGATGAAAGAATAGATGAACGTCAAAAAACTTTAAAGTAGTTTAATGATAGAGTTTAGTTTAGTAACTAAAGCTAACTAAACTAAACTAAACTTAATAAAAATTTAATTAGATTTAATAAAATTTAAGATTTAAAAGGTTGACGATGATATATCATACGAAAAAATTAACTACTTTGTAGCGTAGCGTCTTATTGGAAGTTTATACGCCAAACTGACAAATCTAACTTCTTGATTTTTTAAAAATAATGCTTTGAAAATTAAACCAGTCGTTAATTTGGCAGCCATGTTGCATCGGTGCTAGTTTACTTTTAAAGATTAGAGGTGCGTTTTTAAAATATCGAATTAATTCACAATATTTGCACCATAGTAATTTCATAGTAATTAGTACTAGTAATTTCATCCCGTATTCAGGGTAGTATATAACACATTTTAGTACATTCTAATGAAACTAATGCACATAAGTAAACGCAAATCGTAATTCTATCACAATATATATCAAAAACCATAGAAGACGCGTACAAATTCACAATTTGTTGAATACGGTATTGATGCAGACGATACTATAAGGATAAGTATGTGTGGTTATACATTGAATGATCCAGAGCTTTGCATTTGAGGAGAAATTTAATAAAAAATTGTTTTAATAAGTAATTTTGTACAAAACTATTCAGAGAAACTGAATCATAACGAAATATAGCAACTATTGTTACTACTACCGTTTATAACTTATTACCATTATTAACGAGCACCCTTATAGTCTGATCCTACATCTAATCATTAATACAGATGTGCGCGATATTATTATAGCATCTACACTTTCTAGTTAGTACATATGCAGTTGGCTCCAGGAGTATTAAACTCGAAACCAAACTCATTATTTTTATCTAAAATCAATTATTACTTCGTCACCAACTATTATAAATGTGTGTGTATGTATTACACCTCTCTCTCTCTCTCTCTCTTTTTCTCTTATATATATATATATATATATATATATAGTATATAAAGTATGAATAATTTAATAGCGGCATTTATTAAAGAATGGTTTCTTTTGATCTGCATACATTAACAAATTTAATTGCATTATTTTAAGCCATAAATGTTTCCAAGTGCTCATTAAAGAGTTAATTAAACTGTTATATCGAAACATTGTAAGAAGAGAATACTACATCAATGTGTATGTAATTATAATTTATTAGCGTTCATTAGCTGTGCGTATTTCTTAATAGAATCTCACAACATATAACACCAACTATTTCGAAATGTTATTTAAGAACTGATGGGTTGAAAAATTTCACGACAGCTACCCTCAGACGTTCTTCATCTTTTTACGACAACCTCCTCCGATTTGAGACCTACAGTTCTTGCACGTACAGAACCAGTCCAGTTAGCAAGCGATTGCAACGGATGAATTCTATCGATTGCAGGTGGAATGATGGAGAAGAGGATGACAATAGTGGCAGGAAGAGTGGCAGAAATTCTGTAACTGGCGGATATATCGGTAGCGAACGTATCAATTGTGCTCTTAGGAAAAATGCGTCTCTTCAAGTTGGTCGAAAACGTTTCTTCATTATTATATTATTAGCAGAATTATAAAATAAATATTATTCATCTACCCATGTTCGTTAATTTGACCTTACTTTCAAAAAGGCGAATTGCCAGAGATTATGTAAATCGTTGGATCTTGAAAAGAAATGGACCCTGCAGATATTGAACAGACATCAGCAAGTCACGAGCAACAGAATGGAGAGGAAAATAAATGAAGCTGAAAGGTTGAGAAACAGATCTCATAAGTTAATCCGTCAAAGTGGGTGAATTATCATATATTTTATTATATTTTTATGCTTATTTCATTATATACGTATCATATACATAACGTTAACGAATTAATTAGCTAATTAGATTTTATTAATAAATGAGAATAAATTATAAATTGTACTATTTTAGATTCTCTTTCTCCAATGTTGTCAAGACAGAACTCTGAAAAAAGGCCCACAAGTATAATAGAACGTTGATATCTACCATGATGATTTTTAACTTTCAACTATTAGCTATAAATATGAGAATGTTTCATATGTCATGATTTTAATTCTAATTTATTAAATTTTATAACATTTATCATTTGGGACTTTTTCAATTTTACGGTACAATAAAAGCGTAAAATAAATGATACAGTTTTCTAGCATCTTGTTGATAAAATTCAAACATCTGGTTAACTAAACTGTTGTGTACTTTGGATCAGCGCTCATAACGAAACTTCTCACTAACTTACTTTAACATACACAACAAATATATGGCATTGCATCATATATAAATAAATATATCATATCACAAACATATGAAACAGTATCATAAGTATATTTGTATATCTTGTCATAAATTGATATAGTATCAAATTAGTGAGTGCCACACAATTGTTGAATATCACAGCTGATATGAGGAATATCGGGTTTTTCCATTTTGATGCTTTTTTAGACAACGTGATGATTCAGATTAGAAGTAGAAAGTAAAGGTGAGCTGAGTTTTTTTTTTGCGTTTTCTACGATATTTCGCACTAAATTAAGGTTTGGTGGCTTTTACATTTCGTGTTTTATTTGATCGTTTTTCATTTTTATTTGTATAAATTACAAAACAACGAACAACATAACAATTTTTAATTTCTTCCTTGTCCAGCGGATAGTTTAGTAACGAATTTAATTTAATAATACAACTAAATAAAATGCGTTCTTGTTTGCTTTTTTGTTCTATTTTCTCATTGTCATTCATTTTCTTTTGATCTGAGTTATATGATATCATATCCTGCAAATTTAATTTTGTCATATTTAAAACTAATTCTAAAATATTGTGTAATAATGATATATTATCGATTTCTGTTTACATTAGAATACAGGATAGAAGCTTCTTAGAGGACTATATCCAATGTTAAAATGTTGAATACACTGAACAAAATAGTCGTAAAGAATCGACTTAATGATGTTGTTAGTGAGATTGTTGTTCAATATGCTGAAAGTAACAAATCCATAAGCAACTGGTACAATCTCAAAGATGTGAATGTTGAAACTTTTGAGAATATTGCGTGGAGTAGGTGTGTCACTTATGAGAAATGCATTGCAGGTGATGATGAGGTGGAACTCGATGCCAACAACATCTGTTTTGGGGAAAATAATGGTTTCTGGCAGATATATTTCATCTACAAGTCGAAAAATTATAAACTTACAAAACCTAATAATGAGTTTAGCTTGTCTAAAGATGATAACAAAGGCATTATGACCATCTCTTTGTTGATGAACCAAGATGAAATCACTCTAGAAGCCATTTTTCAAGTCTGATACTACCAAATTTTTTGTATTAGCCTAATACAATTTTAATAATGAAAAATATTGAATATATTTTTGCAGAAAGGTTCATCTAACAAATGCTTCTCAATGATTGAAGGAATTATCACAAAAAGAGGTGTCAACATATTTGTGAAGAATGAATTAATTGATCAGATTAATGATCTTTCTGTAACCTTATGTGAAACATTTTTTATGACTGCTTCAAATTATGAAGATGATGACGATTTCAGCAGCAGAAATCAAGTCAAACTTACTAATTCCAAATTAACTACAGAGGTCAGTGATTTTATTTTTTCATAGTTCAATGTCACAATTGAAAAACATTAGCCAATTGAATGGATGTGTAATCATATTGAATTCAGGGCTTGACTTACTCTGTAGAGCCAGTTATATTCACTTACAACAAACATTCACAATACTGGCACATGAGGTTTTCATACCAAGGAAATTTTTATGAACTTCAAACCAAAAGAAAGCCTGGAATACAATTCAACCTGGATATGAACCATCATGGTTCTGACTTGATACTATACATTTTTTTGGATTCTAAAACCTCCAGGCTGGCTGTCAGATTTGAGATTGGTGACTGCAGTAAAATATTTACTGCTTTTCAAAAATTAAAGTTAGTCATTTTTTTATAATTTCAAGTTTCAGCTTGCCAATATTTTATAAAATATTTTTATTTATCCAGAACAATAGATAAACAAATGGAAATTGTAACAAACAAAATAAATGAATTAAATTGTCCTCAATTATTTCATAACTTCTCACTGACAGTTCATAAGTTGACACATGTCTTTAGAACATTATCTAGAGTTGGGTATAAAAGTTTTTCAAAGGAGAAATTATTTTCTGGCTGTTTCAAACGTTTATTTTATCCATATATGAAGCCAGAGATTCATTCCATGGAGATGATGCTTGAAAATTCAGTAATTAATATTGGGAAGTTTTTATTGGATGTTGAAAAGGATGATTGCGACATCATTTTAAGTGCTCTCAAGGATGCTGTCTTCTATTTTCATTCATTGAAGAAAATCTGGATGGAGATGAAAGGTTTAGCCGATCAATTGAAAGTTTTGGTGAAATATTTTGAAAACAGAAAACATGGAGAGGAGGGTGACGATGATGATAATGAATTTTTAAAATCCGTATTTCATAATTTAGATCTTTATGATTCGATGCAAATAACGTCAATCACGTGTGAGTTGTTAGAGTTGGTAGCTTTCAATGAGGTCGGCATCTGCTTTAAGATTTCCAATTCAGAACAAACGCACAAAGTCTCTGCTGACTTGGGCGTTCTTGCTTTGATATTGGAGGATGAGCTGAAAGTTTGGAACCAGAAGATTGTATCAACGAAAAAGAATGATGACGATAATGATCAAACAAAAGTTGTTGACGACGAAATTAAACATGATAATCCACTGAAAGATCCTAACATTCCAAATGAAAGCTTAACATCGTTGCAAATACAGCTGATATACGAAAGTTCCCTCATAAAATCTGCAGAATTATTTCAGATTGCACGTATGAAGCTGGTTGATTCATTATATGACATCAGTTCGGCAATCCACCTGACCAATCGCAACGTTAACATCAGCATGATCACCTCCTCTGCCGTCGGATTAGTCGGTGCGAGTTTGGTCATCACCGGTTTAGCTTTGACGCCATTCACTGCAGGACTTTCATCCGGACTGGTTGCAGCAGGAGTGGGATTGGGAGCTTCGGGAGGTGCGTTGGGTGTGGGCACCACTATTGCCGACACCGTTTTAACCCAAGGTCATCTAAAATCCACTCTTGATTTAGCTCTAGTTGATAGGAAAGTTTGTAAATCTCTGACCCGTCTTCAAGACATTTTAACACAAAATAAATTAATGAATGCTTTAAACAACAGCGGTTCATTTTCAGCTGACTGCAGTAGTTCATTATTTCACCACCCACAGTACGAAACAAAAGTTGTGGGTGAATGTGCTGCCAATACGATTTCGAATTTTAGTGTTGCTGCGGTTAAAACAGGAGTGCAAATTGCTAAAAATTCCTTCCTTCGTGTTGGTTCCGTTACAGTTGGAGTTATTTTTGATGTTACATCACTGACGTTCAGAGCCATAAATTTATCAAAAGGAGGAAATTCAGAACTTGGTTTCAAGATAGAAATTGAAGCTCAAGATTTAGAGAAGGAGTTAGATGTTATCTTCAATGTCATTGAACAGATGGGTGTCCGTATTGAACGAGGTGGCGAACGTGTTAAAACCAATGATAGAACACCTATCACTAGACCAATCCTCGAGTTGATATAAAACATATACAAAGAATGTGACTGGTGCCACTTGCCCTTTTTCAGACTTTTTTTCACCGGTTTAATTAAATGTTCTCCTTTGTACAGTTTTTATATGAACTATTAATTTACTCTTATTAATTAGTTTATAATAATAACTTCTTGTACTGAGCTGTAACGTTGATGCACATATCATATATTTCTGACTTTGGATGTTTTATTTAATCAATGTTTAATGACAATTATGTGATGACGATGGCCTTAACTCTTGCTAATTGTCAGTAACACAAGCGAATAATTAATTAAATTGAATGTAACTTATCTTTAAATATATTACTGCTACATAAAGTAAAATCATTATTTACTCTCATGCTTATACCTGGAATGCGTTTTTTGTGATAAAATTTGTTACACAACTTTAGCAATTAAGCAATAAAACGGTGTTTAAATACTAATAAAATTTTGTTGCACTTTCAACTTAATACATCATTGGATAACTTTATAAATGTTTGTCGGTTTATCTTGGTTTTTATTAAACAGATCTGTACCTAATACATTTCTATTTTTATCTGTTTGATAATTTGTTCTGCTTGTACATGAACAATATAAAAATTGGAGCACAAACATATATATAAAAAATGTTCTTTTTTTACAATTAACACTAAAAATGTTCATAAAGGTTGTATAACACTTAATTTCACAAGTAACGTGCCTTTCCATATAATCTAATCCACTTTTAACCTAATCAAACGCATGTGATTCAAAAGCCTGAAAAAGCTTTTTAAATGCAAAGTGACACTTTGATCTAAATTTTTATAAAACAAAATGACTTTCAACTACAACTGGCCAAATTTAAAATTCAATCATGACGTGTGTGAAATTATTAAAAAATCATTTGAAAAGGTTAGAGAGTTGGTTTGTGATTGTTTGTGATTGATTACTTCTTTAATTAAATTAATTAATATTAAATTATTAATTAATTTAATAATTAATGATTACTCATTTATATATGCTATTATTTTATTTTCTATTCTATTCAATTCTATTGCGCTCTTCTAATTCTAGCTAATCTAAAATTGTTTGATGTTAGTAAAGTTTTATAAATAAAATTATTAATGAATAATAATTTAATTTTTAATTGCTAAGCCCTTAATTGCCAAATTTTAAAAACACTACAAAATAGGTGAAAAATATTGAAAATGTAAATAAAAAACTCGAAAAGATTTTGAAAATAGGCAGTCTACCACCTCTGTTCACAACTTTGAGGGTGAACAACCTTCACCTGGAAAGAAAGCATGCAATCAAATTGATCCAAGAAGCTATAGATGAAGTTTAATTAATATTTTTCAAAATAATACAACCATTTATTATTTTATTATTTGTTAAATTTCTTAGGTCATAAAAATAATAAATAATATCATACTTTGTTAAGAGAGAGGAAGAGAGAACAGGATTGAAGTTTGAAGTTAAGAATCATCCTGAGCTAAATGATTGCATCATAATTCAGAATTTTGGACCATTTAATGTTGATACTGTACGTATGCGAAATTCAATAATTTCAAGTCAAATTTACAATTATGTGAAATAATTTTTATATCACAAAAATCTAATGATTTTTTAGGTAACTGAGGAGATTATTGTTGATCATTCATGTGGTATGTCTGTTCTCAGAGGTTCTGACATTTATTCTACTGGAATCCTTTCAATGTCTCCATGTTAGTCTCTACGCTTAAATTATGTTAATTTTAATTTTTACATTCCCAACTCTAATTACAAATTACTTTTCATCATTAGACTAACAAAAGGTATTTATTCGTTTTATTCTTTTCCATAAGATGTAAAAGTCGGCGATTTAGTTTCGGTCTACGTGGATGTGGAGAACAAATGTCGAAGAGGACTGCTGACGAAAGATTTCCACGGAAAAAAATTTTTCATTGGTAATGGTGTTGCCATGGTTACTAGGGCTGCTGTGTTTTGCACTGGTAACAATAAGCTGTTAGTTGCTGTTATAAAGTTTTAAATGTTGGTGTAAAAATGAAATTGGAAGTAGTAGTAGCAGTAGTAGTAGTAATTGTAGCAATAGTTGTGTAGTTATAATAGTAGTAGTAGTAGCAACCGTAATAGTAGTAGTAATAGTAAATTTTATTTTACCAAGATTGATTTTTTCACAGTAAAGGTATTGGAGTGAGAATGAGTGAATGTATTTATAGATCACCACAACTTTATGACCTTCTTCCTTCACTCATTCACCCACAAAACCTTCCATCCATCATTTGCGTTCATGTTCTCAATCCATCTTCGGATGATTTGGTGTTGGATATGTGTGCTGCTCCAGGTTGATTGATTGGTTGATTGATTGATTGGTTGATTGATTGGTTGATGGATTTTGTTGAATAATTAATTTGAGATATATATCAGTGTTCAACTAAATTTAGTCTGTGATATCTATCACATTCAAGTTAATACACTATAAATAATAATAATAATTGTTAGTAATTATAATTGTGATGAATAATAATAAAAATAATATCATAGGTGGGAAGACAAGTCACATTGCGACTCTAATGGGGAATAAGGTCAGTTATTTATCAGTTTATTAAAATTAACCTAAAAAATAAATTAAAATAACGCATAATAATTATAATATTATTATTTATAAAAATAATAATTATTTATTATTATTATTTTGTTAGGGATGTGTAGTTGCACTTGACAAAAACAGGAACAAAACTGAAACAGTTAAGAGGCATTTAGAAAAGTGGAACATCTCAAACGTGCAAGTTCATCATTGTGATTCGAGGTACGTCATTGATGGTGAAGCCGGTGGCGGTAATATTGGTGATAACGGAAAAGATGATGAGAAAGATGATGGTGATAGAAGAGATGATGATAGTGATGCTCAGAGACAAGGTGATGATGGCGATGGCGGTAGTCATGTTTATGACGCTTGCAGTAGTCATAGGTCTTTAAATTCGTACGAACGAGTTAAATTAAAAGCTCTGAATAAAGATACCCTGATAGGTGATAACAAAAACGACTTATCAATCAAAGACAACAGCAACAACAACAGCAAAAACGCCAGGCAAAGAAACGCCAAAATTTTGAAATTCAAAAGAGAATCATTCGACAAAATTCTACTTGATGCTCCGTGCAGCGGCTTAGGACAGCGTCCATCCATCATCAACGACATCACATCTTCTCAATTATCTTCCTATCCACAACTTCAGATGCAACTCTTTGAAACTGTGAGTGAAGTTATCATTTTGGTGGTTTTGTCGCGGTGCTAGTTGACTGGTTCCTAGTTCGCATTGTTATCGTCATTGTTATCTTCATCATCATCATCAATATCATCAATCACTTGTCAATGACTTTTGTGTACTCACAAAAATGCGTACACTTACCTTACTTGCACGTGAACGCAAGGCAGTCCAGTTACTGAAGAAGGGGGGCACTATGGTGTACAGCACCTGCACGACGAACATCTACGAGAATGAGTCCATCACCGCCTGGGCTCTACAGAAGTTCAAAAATCTGAAACTCGTGAAGCAGGTTTTATTGTTAATATCATTCATGCCACTAGAACTCTCCACTGAAAGTTATAATTGAAATGATGAAAATTATGATGGAGTTATGATGATGGTAGTGATGGAAATTATGATGATGGTAGTGATGGAAATTATGATGATGGTAATGATGATAATCACAGGATCCTCACTTAGGAAGCAGTGGATGGATTGTTGAAGGACTGACTGAAGAACAAACTCGTTTATTGCAACGATTCGATCCATCCATCTTGCTCGATCATGATAATGATGATGATTTACAGGATCATCATCAGGATAACGAAGACTATTATTACCTTCATCATAGTGAACGATACGATATTGACACCATAGGATTTTTCATAGCGAAATTTACGAAGCTGTAGTAGGTAGGTCAGAGCAAATGAAGGAAGGAAATAAACCAATGAAAACGAATTAAGTTGTTTGATGGTTTGTAGTGAAATTGTGAGAGATAATTAAACTAAATTATCAATTATCTTGGTTAATTGTATCATCTCGTACTAAAAAAACGCCTGGCTATCTATCTCATTTTGAGAAGTTATTTTGAAAATTTTTTTTATCAATTTTAATCTTTGCAAATCTTTGTATCAATTTAATCGTTTCTAAGGGGAAAGAGAAACATTAGAAATACCCAAAAGCGTACAATCTCACACATACACACGTACAAAAACACGCACGCAAGCATAAACACACGTGCATATGTACAAACATTTGGTTGTGTAAAAAAATAAATCGAACGTATGCATATGATCTGTATTAGACAACAAAAATAAACTAAAAAATAAATTTGATTCATAAAATTAATGACGCAATAATCATTGAAAATGGCGTGATTAAATGTGTGCTGGTTGGTGAATTTATTAGGAAAATATAACTAGTTAGAAAACAAGCCTAAAAATAGAAAATGAAGACACACATCTACACGTACATGCACATTCAGGCACACGTACAAACATGCATACATATATGTTTGTTTGTGTGTGTGTGTGAATTTCTCTGTGCCAAGAACTGTATTTGCAATGGAACAAGTTTTTAAAATGAAATTTAGTAACAACGATTTGTAACAGTGGCATGAAATTTCAAACAAGCGATCACTGTAATGCTGTCGTAAATTGGTTGATTAGCCAAAATGGAAAACGGTAAAAAAAATATGGCAAACAAACAAGCGAAAAATCAATAATAAAATTAGCATTATTAATTATTCTTAGTACGAAAAAAATTCATTTTATCTATGCTACTTACCACAATAACGTTAATATTACTTATAACAATTTAGAAATAATAATTTTATGCTACAAAGATGATAATTTACAGCAGAAATCAAGATAACATTTTATATTTATGAAAAATACATGAGCAAAAAAAACCATCATTCGTTTAATTTTTAGTTGTAAAGATTAAGAAAAATAAATTAAGGATTGCCGTGCACTTGAGTAGGATAAACATTTTTTTTCTGCATATTATATAATAAAGTTCACAATTCATGTGATTATTAAATTGAATTGCAAGAGCCACACGAACAAATACACACACACCACTCACACACACGCACACACACATTGAATATGCCATATTGTGGTAACATAATTTTTACTACAATTAGACCAAACAGTAATTAAGTGAAATCATAAAAAACATTTCTGCGTGTAATAATAATTATTATTATTATATAATATTATTATTATATAATAATTATTATTATTATATAATAATTATTATTATTATATAATAATAATTATTATTATATAATAATTATTATAACAATGATAATAATGATAAAGTAATTATATTGAATTATGCCCTACATACATACTGCTATATTCAAAGAGATATAAAATAATAAATCACCACACACAAACACTTTTTTTAATACAACTATTGTGAATGTGTTTATCTGGAATGATGGGTATCTTAAGAAAGAAGGAGAGAGAGAGAGAGAAAGAGAGAGAGAAAGAGTAAGAGAGCGAGAGAAAACGTCGTTTAATTACAATTTGAATCGATCATTAAAAAATTGAAACAGCCAAAATAAAAATCAGAGGACAGTGATAAGGATACAAAAGTAATAATGAACTAAACAACAAAAAATAATGTTTGGACGAAGAAATTATTTAAATAATAATAAAATTGATAATAATTAGCTATTAAATATTATATCAAATCATATCAATTAATTGATCAGACAACGAGTTAATAACTCGGTCACGCTCAGCAAATCAGACGATCATTCATACATACATTCATTTAGTCATTAATTCATTCATCTATTCGCTCATCCATTCACTTATCGATCTATCCGTTCATTCATTCACTCTCACAGCATTAATTATTTTCAGTTAAATTTTTGTTTTTTAATTTTTCAAGTCTTTTGGTAAGCGAGTTATTTTTAGATTCTAGCTCTTCTAATTTACTCGTCAACATTCTGGCCTGAAAATTTAAAAAAATAATAAAAAAATTATAAAAAATAATAATATTAATATTATTGCAGGCTTTGAATACAATTTTATTAAAATTAATGAATAGATATAAAAATTTAAGTTAACACATTGGCCCATGATAAAGTGTGAAGTTGGTTGGTGCGTATTTAAAAAAAGTTTCATCAAACTTTAACTTTTAAAAAGAGAATTTACACATATACACATACACGCACATATATATACAGTCGTTCACACACACACAGGCACAGACAGACACACACACAGACAAACAAATACACACACACCTCCAGCTGGAGTTTCCTCTTTTCTACTTTCAACTCTTCCTCCGATTTCTCAAGATTCTCAGACAAGGATTTATATCGAGTGAGCTGGGTTTCCAACCTAGTCACCTAGTCAAATTTACATAGCGCCATTTTTTAGTAATAATAATAACAACAACCACAATAATAATAATTATTATTATTTATTATTATAATCATAATAATTATACTAAGCTAACATTTCCCTGAAGTGTGGTTATCTCTTGTTCAGCTTTCTTCAACTTTAACTTAATCTCGGTGAAGTTCTTATGGGCGTCTGATGATGATGAGGAGGATGATGATGATGTTGGAAGTGACAGCAATGATGATTACGATGAATATAACGATGATGAAGAAGAAAACGACGATAATGAAGAAGATGGTGACTGTATTGATAGAAACATTTATAACGGTGGTGACGATGATGAGTGAAGATGATACAAAAAAATGGTTAAAAATGGTTATGGTGATGACAATAATGGTGATAACTTGTAAGAATAATGATGATATAATACGAACAATTCTGAATAAAAAACAACAGACAACATTGGCAAAATCTACAATATTAGTAAGAAAATAGAAAAAATTGAAAAACCAAGCAAAACAAAATTCATATTCCTTGGTAAAATAAACCAACAATATATCAGTAGCAATAACAAGGAATCCAAAACAAAAAGCACATCAACAACGTCAACAAAAGACATCAAAAAACACAAAATCAAAACACAATAACATCAACATAGTTAGAAACCAGCCAACCATCAAATACAATGCCATCAAAAACAGGTGAAGCTATGGTTGAAAACGAGCTGGTCTGTTGTTGCTGTAGCAGATTACTGCTGTTTGATTTCAGCTCTGACAATTCTTTGGAAATTTTTTCCTTCTCCTCTAAAATCTCGTTTCTTTCATCAAATAACTTTTTCAATCGATCACCTTTAATAGTTTGTATAAAATTATTAAACTTTAACTTAATGTATAACCACATCCAGTCCTCCATTAGCTATATTTTAAAAGTAGACTCATATTATAGCACACCCCCGCCCCTCTCTAAGCCCTAACTAACAAGACCAACCTAATGAGCCAGTATAGTCGGCCAGTATTTCCAGATGTTCAGCAGTGAGAATTGCAGACGACATGTTGCTACCACTCGTATATTCGGAGTCTTCGGGTGCAGTATAGGTGTTGTCTGTAGTGACAAGAGCCAGACCACTCGTCTTAGGTTGGAAATTGTTTTTAAATCAGTAACAACAACAACAATAATAAACATAATAATAATGATAATTATTATTTTAATTAATTAATTAAATAATTAAGGATTTAACCTTGATTAGGTGATCCCTCTGTATCAAATCTACAGTCAGCTTCTGGCATTTTGATTCCAAAGCCCTCAATTGATCTAATAACGCATCTTTCTCCTTCAAAAATAATTAATTAATAATTAATAATAACATCATAATAATAATAAACATTAATAATGATAACAATAAAAAAAAACCAAGATCTTTTTTGAAAAATCTCCAGACCTTATTAGAGATACGAAGACTCCTTTTAGTTTCCAGGTTACTCTCCTCGACATCACACATTCTATCTTTGAGGAGATCTACTTCGTACTTCAAGGCTCGCTTCTCGTTGTCCAACTGGGCATTCGAGAGTAAAACTTTCTTGTACTTTTCCATCAGATCAGCAGAGCCAGTTGTGTCCTGTTGTTGTTGTTAGTATTATTGTTATTGTTATTTATTAATGCTACTGTTATAATAATGATAAAAATAATGAAATAGGAACAAACTCTGCTGGATGAGTGCTCAAGGACTGGCCGACTATCTGTAGTTGAATGCATTCTTGTGATTGGCTGGCTTGTTGTGGATGTCGTCGACGTTGTTGTTGTTGCTGTTGTAGGCACCTGAAAATATAAGTGAAATTCATAAAGATAATATATCAATTTTGGCAGGAAGGAAGTTTTTTAAAAAAAATTCCAAATTTTTATGAAAATTTTATTCATTTTGTATGTGAACTCACTTTAGAAGCAGGAATATTCTCAATATTTGCAGTATTATCAGCAGACTGTTTGCTATTTTCAGTACTCTCCTCATCATCATCTTCATCGACATCTTCATTCTCCTGTTTTTAATAAATAAAATAAAATAAATAAATAAATTAACAGAAATTAAGTAGAATAAATAAGAATAAAATGCAATAAAATGTTTCTCTTACCACAACAAACTCAAATGCCTTAATAAACAATTTGGGCAAAATTTCACATTCTTAACTACATGCATTACTAATATTAGACTCAAAATAATGTTCATTACATTTAAATAGCAACGTAGTTAGACTTAGAAAAATGCTAAAATTTGCAAAAGACTTTAGACAAAAAATTTATTACCTTCTTGTGTTTCTCTCTTTCATCCAGTCTTAACTTTCTGGCTTCAGCCAGCACTGCACTGGACTTTTCATCCCTCGTGTCTGCCTAATTTTGAAAATTTTATAACAATAGTAAAGTCACTTGGCTTATTAATCAAGTCATTTAGTATTTATTTGCTAAATAAATATAGCTAAAATAAATTAGAATGTTGGTGACTGAAAATTAACAAATATGAACATTAACTTTTATTATTGAGATTCATTAACTATTATTGAGGTTAGATTAAAATTATTAAAAGCTATCTATTTTGATAACTGTTAACTGTTTTCAGGTTCTCAACCAAATAGAGAAATTAAAATGAATTAACTAGCTCTAAAAAACTAGTTAGATTTAGCAAGAAAAATAAAACAACTAACTTAAGCAGAAATTATAAATTAGGTATATTAATTAGTTAGCTAAGTTTTTTTAAGAAAGAGCCAAGACAACCCAGGAGTAAGAGCAAGACCAATTCTAAGGAAACCAAGGTAACTCAATAGTGAGTAGTCAAGGCCAATCCCAATAATGAGAAATCAAGAGAAATTTTAATTTTAAACTATTATAATTATGAAGTGAAATGGATTGCCAAACTTAAAATTTGAAATAAAAAATGGCTTATTTACTTCTTAATTAAACTTAATTATTAAAGTTTAATTTAATTAAGTCTTAAACAAAAAGGAAAAGGTACCTCTTTTGAGATGACGTCCAGAGCATTATCTTCGACAGAAAGCTGGTTTCCAGTACTTCTTCTTTTACTAGAAGAACTAACAGCGTGAGAAACAGGCGAAGTCATTTTTTAAAACACTTCCAAACAAACAAATAAAAAATTATTTTAACAGGACAAAAACGAAGCTTCAAAAGGCCAAGCCCAAAAACGAAGCAAATTAGAATTAAAAAAGAAAAAATATAATTTAAAATGAAGGACGAATATTAGAATATAAAAATTAAAGGTATAAAGACATATCTCATGATTTAGGGCATGAAATGTTACGCTCCACACAACGTCCTACTCACAATACACTTCTACATTGTAGTGTTTCAGTGTGTCTGCTAGCTTAGCAACATTTCTCTATTTGATATTTTCTTTTTCATTGAGTCTTGCAAGCACCTTAAAGTAGATTTTTTCTGAGTAAAACTTTATCATTAGTATTCTTTTTCGAGACAACTTTTTTTTTGTTTATTTTCTATAAAATATCACCTTAAAATTTTTTTATAAACTCAATTTTTTGTAAACTTTTATTTTCACCGTATATATACATATGTGTAATGGTATGCATGCTAATGTTCTCCCTTTATATATATATAGTTATACATATCCTTGACAAATATATGCTCATCCTTGCATTGCTCAAAATCTTCTAAATTTTATATTGCAAAACACTGCAGATCAAACGTAGCAACTAAGTTCAATGACTCTAATTTATGCCTGTCTAGGCAATAACAGCTTGCGTGTTCTAATTAACATAGTATTTAACTTCGAGAACGCTAACGAATTCCTAACAAGTGAATGGTTCAAAGTGTAATGACTACATACTATCGAATGTGTATGTGTATTTCAGTTTCATAACCCCTTGTCTACCTACAGATAAAAATGTTTGACCATATATTTTTCAAATGGGAAGGCATTCGAAGATAAAACTAAACTGGAGATAACATTTCAATCGATCGATTTAAAAGCTTACAATCACGATAGAACAGAAAACGGTAATTAAATTCAATACAGGTTCTACGTATTTTTAAACGCCCGCTAATCTAAAACATTGATTCATTACTATTACATTACATCGTCAGTTATCTTTCCAACGTTCAAACGTAATCAAATTCGAAAATAAAAATTACATATCACAAAACAGACAGACATGATGACGATAAATAAATTAATTACATCTAGTCGACGATACAAAAATTTGATAATTAATGAAAGAACAAATCTATGAAATAAAACTGAAGAATCTAAAATATTTCAACCAAAACGCGACAACAACACATATACAAATTTGTGGCAAATAAACATACATTTAAACAAAATCCATATATCATAATTCAATCATTTGTTGGAATATAAATGTCACAATGCAAACGTTATATAAAAAGCACCATATACATCTTGAACTGTTCTCGGAATGATTCAAGATTATACAAAATAAGATTAATGATTAGACCGATGATAACAAAAGTTACTCAAATATGATAAAATAAAGTATGATAATAAAAATTGGCCTCTGAAAGTGAGAATTTAAAAAAATAAGACTTTTTCATATTCGTAAATAAAAATAATTAAAAATATAATTTTGTGACTTACTTGGAATCGAAAAATAAAATACACAACCAAGTATAATGACTAGAACAATTCAAATGAACCTAAGAAGCGGAATCGAAACTAAGGAAAAACGAAAATTAAAAAAGTATACATACTTAACGTACGTAGAAAGAAAAAATTAATTACAAGATTGATTGAATGATACATAAATCAAACAAACAAATAAATGAATAAATAAACAAATAAATAAATAGGAAACAAAAATGAAAAAAGAACTGATAGAATGCGATTGGATGGAAGGACACTACAAACAAAACGAAAATTAAATTGAAAGTAATAAAAAAAAAACCAATTAAAAACTTGAAAAAAATCATGAACTGAAGAGAAAATAATACATATCTAACAGCCTGCATGAAGATTTTGGTGTTGTAGGAATGTGACACATTATCCCAGCATGCAAATGAACCAGAAAACCATATAAACTAGATAAAGATGCATGCGAATGAACCAGAAAACTGCAGTTGAAAATTAAAAACAAACAATAAAGTGAGTGATTTAGGTAATAAAATAAATAAAAATGAATAATTTTAATTGAAAGATATCAAACTTAAATCAATACGAATTATGTTATAATGAAATTTGACGATAACCACAACATTTTTGAAAAATACAAAATGAAACAAATCATAGACAATACTAATCCTAGCATCTTTATCGTCAATTTTGCCAAAATATAACAATATTTCTCTCAACAAAGAAAAATACAAACAGTAACAATAATAATAATTGAATAATAAAAATAAAACTAAATGATTTTGCACAAAAAAGCTGAAAATAAATAGACATAACCGTAGAATACTGCTCTGACCGTTACGTTTCTGTGTTGTTAAATCTTGATATTCAAAGTAAGATTGAAAGAACCATAACGATAACATAGCAATAATATTATTATAAATAATTTAAAAAATACTAAATAATAATACAATTTATCTGAATGCAGTAGTAACCATTGATAAAAAATGAAAATTTTGTTAAAATAAACTAAACAGAAAAAAAGAAGAAAGAAAAACGAAAAAACTGTAAATGTAAAATGATCAATCATGAAAATATACCTAATATATCAATAAAAGACGAAACAAATTTAAAAAAAAAAAACAAAACAAAAAAAACAAGAGACTAGATGAATGGAATGGTGACGAAAATAGAAACAAAGAAATAAAACAAAAGCAAATCAATATCAAACGATAAACTTATTCACGATTTAGTGTAGCATTACTTTTTTTATTGGTATATATATATATATATATATATATATATATATATGAATGTATGTATGAATGTATGTATAAATAGGTAATCATCATCTTCATCATCCTCATGATCGTCATCATCCTCTCAACAACTTTTCTCACTGTTAAAATAAGTTAATTGGTTAAAAGATCATTTAATTAATTAGCTAATTAATTAATTAAATGATAAATAGAAAATAGAAGCCTGATAAAGAGAAAGGTATCTATGTATGTAATGTTAGCTTAATGACAGATGGATATATCCGATAAGGCCCTTTTTGCTGACAAAATTTCGTCACCACTAGCAACATTAATATTCATTATATTTTATTATAACAGCTATTTTGATTATTATAATTATAATATATAATAATATATTATAATATTAATAATATTGATTAATAACATTGCACCTGACGTATGTGTGGATCGTACATGTTAGATGTCGACGTTGGTAATATATCTGTGTACCCCATGTTTGGCTGCATGGACAGGTAGAAAGATAGATAGATAAAAGGATATAAAAAAGGATAGATACATAGATAGATAGATAGATAGATAGATAGATAGATAGATAGATAGATAGATAGATAGATAGATAGATAGATAGGTAGATAGATAGACAGACAGACAGATAGATAGGTAGATAGATAGATATGAAATCATAATTTAAAATAAAATTATTATAATATAAAAATGATGAAAAGAAGAAATATTATGAGGCACCAAACTACTGACATTCATAGACATGTACAAGTCAGGTCTTGTTGGCATGCTGTACGCTGGTGTGCCTGCAATGGTTTGAATCATTTTATAGTAAAATAATTATATCTGCGTATGTATTATATATAAATTACAATTATATATATATTGTAATTATAATTAGATTCATATAACAATAGTAAAATAATACAAATATTATACTATTAAATTAAATATTTCATTAATGAAACAACATTTTTTTAAAAATTACAACATTAAAACGAATAACATGTAAGGAACTGTTAACATCAACATTAACAGCATCACAAACACCAACACTACTAACACTTACATTAATTCAAACGATGCAAATACAACAAAAACAGCGGACCACGACAAAAAAAATCCCACCCCATGACTCTTGGCTGTCACTTAAGCACTGACTATCAGCTGACTCCAACTTAGGCAGCATAGGTGATTTGGAGTCACTGCTGTTGTTGTTGAAATTGTTGCTATTGTAGTTGCTGTTGGCGTTGTTGCTGCTGCCATTGTTGTTCGTGCCACTGCCAGCCATCTTTGCGTTGTACATGTTGGCTTCTTCTTGACCCTTCCCGACATTTTTCTTGAAACGAATCCTTTTATTTCCAAACCAATTTGAGACCTGGTTTAGTTGTGTGAGTCAATGTCAAAAATGATTTAATGAACTTAATTTAAAAATATATTTTTTTAAATAAAACCAAAACCGTCATCAATAAAACTAAAAGACAAGTTATCCATTCATACACAAAAAATCCACTCACTAATCAGTCACCCAATTAGTTAACTATTCTTCAGATCTTATCACATCTTCTACATACACCACACACAGACAGACGAAGAGAAAGACAGACAGACGGAGAGAGAGACAGACAGACAGACGGAGAGAGAGAGACAGACAGACGGATAGACAGAGAGAAACAAACTTGTGAAACAGTGATGCCACACTTCCTGGCAAGCTCTTCCTTGGCCTCCTCACTTGGATATGGATTACTGAGGTGCGAGTAGAAATATTCATTTAGCATCTCCGTCGCTTGCTTGCTGAAGTTCCGTCGTTTCCGTCTGAAAAAATGTTTCACAAGAAATTTTATAATTAGAAACAATTAACCAGCAAGCAACAAGCATCACCACAACCACACCAGAAGACCAACCTTGCATCTAGGAACCTGGACCTCAGTATCATGACTGCCTCACATGTGCTCTGCTTCAACTGCAACTCGATGGCCGTGAACTTCTTGCGGATGATGCTCACCATTCGATCTATCTCCTTTGGGGCTATTGGTCGAGTGCGACTCTGCTCGTGTAGAAGGTTGACAACGTGGCTTGTGAACTCACTGCAGGCCTGCCCATCCAACAGGTTAATGTAAAAATGATTCAAGTCATGCTTGGACTAAACAACAAATATATTATCTTGAAGCACAACTAATAAACCAAAATAAAACAGCATATATAATAGGTTGGAACTATATTCTTTCAAAAAAAAAATGTACACCAAGTGTATAATAAAACAAGTAATAAAGCAACTCCTCACAATACCAACCTGTTCATATTTTTCGAGCTCTGAGTTGTAAATCTGCCTTATCTGAATTAACTTTGCTCTGTAGTCTGCATGTTCTATGGCATTCTCAGAGGGGGCCACCATGCTACCCCCCACCTTCTCAGGGCCTGCCACCCCTTCAGCTATCAACATGTTGTCCAGCCTCATCAGCTGGGCATCGGGTGGATCATCATCTTGACAGTTGCGAATACTTAACACTGTTGAATGTTGTAATGGAGATTTGTGTTTAGTTAGAATATCAAAAATTTTGCTTTTGTGAAATTGGAAGCCAACTTGCTACAAACAAACATTAAATTTTCATAACAACTAAATGGTATTAAACAGTTGATGTATAGAAGCCAGTTAATATAATGCACCAGTTTATAACATCCACTCAGAATACAGTCAAATACATGTATGCAATCAAACAAATACATGAAAATACAAACAACAAGCCCCTAAAAATATGAATACATAGTATATAGTCTACATACATGTAGGTAGATTGTAGACAAGCAAATAAAATAGAAGTGATTGGAAGTGGAGTTTGAAGAGATAATTAGTTAATTGTTTTATGGTGCATATACAGGTGTGAAGAGAATCATTCAGTTATTCATTAATTCATTTACTCACTCATTCATTCATTCATACTCACCTGTCTTCTCTTTAATTTCACAAAGTATTTGAAATAATGCTGGCTTCATTCTGTGGCAATTTAAAGTGTGCTTCCTGTAAGTAAGAAATCAATAAATATGATGAATCAATTAACCAATCAATTAGTGATTATTTATTAAATAACTTAACTATAATTACTTTATCAATCAATCAATTAATTAATTAATTAATCAATTAAACCAATGTTCATGTTCAACTAAAATCTAAATCACATACTCAATTAATTTTCTAGTTTATTCAACCATTAAATAATCAATTTTATTAGAGAAATGTCTCAATCAATCATTCAAATAAGAAACCTTGCTTGGGCCTCATCTAGGGACTGATCTGTAATGTTCATAATTTGTTGTAAGATGTCCCCAATGGCCCTCTTGCCCCCTCCCATGTCATCACCCATCATTCCACACGACTCCATCATCACCTGCTGGTTGCCATGGATTGCTGGATAACTCTGGGGTTGTAACATCATTTGTCCCTGCATACCATACGCCATTCCATCGTCCATCATCTTGCTGGGTCCTGTTTGTTGGAAAAAGTTGGGTGTTCAGTCAGTCAGTACATGGATTGCCATCATTGCCAAGATTGAATCTCATTCTCATCTCATCTCATGTGTGAATAAAGAATTTCTAGCACTGTACGAAGTTAGCAATCCATTTTAAAAATTAAAAGATATATGAATGGCGGCCAATTCGAACGACATTACCTTCCTCTCATGATGGCAGCCAACTAATTTTATTTCATGATGTAAAATAAATGAAATTCAATTAATTAATTTTTGTAGTGATAACAGAACACACTGCTGCAAACAAATTAAGAACATTTGTCGATCGGATGAGAAGAGTTGATGCATTCACGAACGTAAGAGAGTGAGGCGGCCGTTTAAAATTAATAAAGCGAGGAAAATAAGCAAACTTACGTTTTAAAACGATAAAAATACAATAAAATCCCAATAAAATGCTCAACAACAAGCCAAAATCCTATTAGAATTTTAGCAATGGAGGAAAAGCAATTAAAAGGCGGAGCCTAATAATCAGGTCAGTTCTTGACCAATCAAAGCTATTTAACGATATGTCACTACGTACTAAAAGTTAACTTTGGTTGCAAGTTTTTAAAGCATTTCGTGGGAATTTTAAATTGAATTCTCTTGAAATGGAGCGAATTAAATTGAAAAATGATTTTTACTCGGATAGCTCGGACGTAGATATGGCCGGTGAAACCTCCGAATCGAACTCAGCAAATGACGATGTAGTTATAATTGAATCAGCTGTTCCGAAGATGTCATCACCTAAAAATGTGAGATTTTCAAATAAAAATTGAGATATCTGGTTCTTTACCATGATTATTATCATGCATCATATTTCATTGTTTTCTAATAATTTTCAGAGAAAAAGAACAGAACTGCAAATTGAACGCCAATTGAAGAAGGAAAAGTTAGAATATGAAAAGGTCAAAAAGAAAATCCAACAAAATGAAATCAAAAGCATGAAGCCAGGAGAATGTCTGAAAGTATAATTATAATAATTTTTTCATTTTTTAAAAATAATATTTATACAAATTTGTGTAATGAACCAATAAAATTGTTTTTAATCAATAGTTGATGCTAGTTCTGCTTGATGAAAACCTTGTTAGTTTGAGTTGTGGCCAATCAACTGTTAAAGTTCTGGACGAGAATGAAATCAAACATGAAGTGCTACAGCAAATAATGCCTAACATGATAACGTTCTGGAGAACTGTTACATCCACTTTTGAAAACGATCAGAAAAAAGTTGTTTGGTTTTTTTAGTTTTTATCTACCAAATTTTATTTTTCATAAGTTGATTATTTTTTTTAGTTTATAACTGAAGAAAAAGATGTTATGCAAAATCAAATTCTGGTTTACATTCCAACTGAGGAATTCTCATCAATGATTTCTTCGTTCAGTGCTAAAGTAATTATTTGGGAACGTATATCATACAATTAACTACAAGATATTATGGTTATTTTTAATCTCATAGTTATGTTGGTATACTATATTTGATACTTTTTCAGAATGTCCCTTCCAACAACAGAAACAGATCAGAGAGGAGCTTTGAAAATTTCATTCTTAGTTGTTTGGAACTGTTGGGATCAAATCATTTCCTGACATTTGTTGTTATAGATTGGGAAACTTACAATAAGTAAATCATCAATTTTTTTTTCTTTAACTGTTTGTCATGTTTTACCATCATCATCATTTGTATCATTATCAATAATGTTATTGTATCTATCATCATTACACTGCTTAACTCAAGATTTTTTATCATTATACTGGTTTTCTGTACTGGTTTTTATAACAATTTATACAAAAAATAATATTTTTTTCTAAATTTCATTTAATATTTCAGGAAAGCAGGAAAAAAATCGATCAATCATTTAGTCATGGAAGAGGTGATTAAATAATATTAATACAATTTCAACTTCAAATCTCGAATTTATTTTAAAACAGACGTGGCTGCTGTTGAAATAATTTAGAAAAACGTCCACATATTTTTTCACATAGTACTTTTTTAACTTTTCCATATCAGCAATTATGGTAGTGTCATTGTTATATATATATATATATATATATATATATATATATATATATATATATATATATATAGGGTATTTTTGTATTAATTAGTTAAGGTGTTACTATTATATAATACCCCAACAACGAAGGCTCTATTAAATGTGCAGTTGAAATACAACATTCACGTCAAACTAGTCGATTCAGCAAACGAGTTTGCCAGATTGATTTTCAATTTCACAAAAGCCATCGCCGAATGTCCCTTCAAGTAAGCTCCAACGATAGACATGTACCAATTTCAACCTGGTTCATTTGAAAATAATCTTTCGTTTAAACTTTTTAAAAGGTACTGCTGACCTTTTTAAATCTGATTTCACACATCGTTAATACTACATGTGTGAATGCAATTCGGAACGAAAAATACAGCAAAAAAAATGATTTATTTATTTTTTTTAATTCAGACGCAGCAGATACGAGCAGTTGAACAGTTTGAACACCTTCATAGAGGGCAAGAAGGGGTGCGTGAAGATTGGCGCGGACGGCTCTGGAGTGGAACAGACGTGGAGGATGATGTTGATGTCGTTTAAAAATGTCAGTGCCAACGTCGCCAGTGCAATCATGAAACAGTACCCCAACCCTGTATCTCTCATGCTGGTTACTCTCTCACATTTTTAACACCGTTTAAAAATAACTTTGATGGTTTTGATTAATTATGATTCTATGTTTAATTTTAAATTTATTATTGTTTTATTCGGGTTAAAATCAATCAGACTAAAACTTATTTGATTATTGAAGGCATACAAATCATGCAGAAGTGAGAAGGAGGGCCTGCATTTGCTTGAGAACATTCTGGTTCGTTCAACTTTCATTACAAAATGTAAATAAATCAACTACCTCAACAGTTTGCAAGTTTATTTAAATAAGTGTAGATTCTTAAGCAAAAATATAAGATCACCAATGTTGATTAAATTGATATTAATTCTTGTATTTGTTGCAAATATATTATAAGCTAAATAGGAGTGCCGACTTATACAATCACACACGAAACACGATCTTGAATGAATAATAATCGCAACAAAACGCAATAATTTCAAATGGAAAGATACGGCGAGGTGCTGGCGTGACTGCAACGACGAGGAAAGTTGGACCAGAGCTATCAAGAAGATTGTACGAATATCTCACATCTGATGACCCTAACAAAGTTATCAGCTAGCCAGAAACCCAATTTTTTAATTTTTTACTGTTTTATTTTTTTTAAATTGAGTGATTTTATGTACAATTTTTAAAATAAAAATCTTTCAACCCAAGTGCTGCAATTTTTATGGATCGTTATATATTTGCGTGCGTGTGCGGTGCGTGTATACTACTACATACATTTGTTTCAACTTGAATAATGTCGACGTTATGGAGAAAGTTTAATTAAACGTATAATTTCATTTGTTCTTGTATGTCATCCACTGACTGAACGCCGAATTCTTCCTGTTGGACCATCATGTTGAAGATATCTTGCAACTGTTTCCTCTGTATGGCGCGCTCCTCTTCCATCTGCTCTCTCGTCATCGTCGATTCAATTTTTTTTAGGGCGGCCTTGTGTTGAGTTTTCTTTATTTCCCTCTGAATGTGATTACAGAATTCCACTGGATCCAGGCTTGAATCAGCGTTGGTGGGGTCGTTTTCATTAGTGCGTCCATCTTCATCTCTTTCAGATGATTCCTTGATTGTCAGGGCACCTTCATGAATAACAATAGATTCATAAGGGATGAATACGTCACGTATTGTTTTAGATTCTACTACTGTTAAACAGCATACTATGTTATATATTTAAATACTTGTGTATAACAAGGTGTTGTTTATATAGTTATTGCTGAGTTTGTTCAACATTAACGATTAATTGATTATTGCATTTTCGTGACATTTACATGTACAAGTACAGCAAATAAATGATAAAACATCAGTGTCATATTGAAAATTACTGACTGTCTGTTGGCCACGAATTCTTCGCGTCCGTTGCTTCAGAAGCCACAGAGGAATGTTTGTCGTTATTGATGCCACTATTCTCGTAGAGCAGTTTACGTTTATTGGAAATATACTTGTACAACACGCTGATGATGACCGTAAAAATCGAAACAAATATCCCAACCAGCGTTACGTTTTCCATATTATATTCTAACTTGAGATTAAGCAGGCTAACACTGTCCAGCTCGGCTGAGATTTCGATAGGAATATTATATTAATATTGGAGAAAGAAATTAGTTGCTATGGTGAAATTTACATTCCACCTGTCATCGTTGTTATTTTGATGCGGCGAACGTAGGTACAAAACGTCAAACAATCCAATCTGACATTAATTAGCACGCAATTGCATTTGCAATGGCATTCGATGCACGTTCGTCGCTTCGAGCTTGTTTAGAAATATACAAGAAATACGATCTTATACGCGTGCATTATACCACGCATACCTACGTGCTATATTTGTACATTATTTGCAATATGCATGATATATATTCGTCTATGATCACCATTTACTTTGGTTTTTAATAGATTCTTTTGACTATTTTAACATATATAGAAAGAGAATGCTGTTCGAGATATGTTTATCACATGTATATATAAAACATACTATATGATTTAAAATGTGCATCACAAAAGTTTTGAAAATATTTGACAGAGGAAGGTTTCACTGATCATGTTCAGTAGTTAACCTAGCTACTACAAACTAATAGTTGCCGAACACTCAATGAAGTATTGTTAAAAAATGTTTATTAAACATGCATTCACATGATCTACAGCTATCTTAAGCTTACAAATTTATTTAAATAGTTTGAATATTAAAAAGAAACACGTCTAGAAAAATAAACTGTCAGTAAACATTAGGGTCGATCTTTTTATGTGGGGACAACGACCTTGACCTTGATTTAACTTCATTCATTCTTCCATAGCCAGACGAGTTGACGTGACCAACTCTATAAGACCTCGGCCGGTGATTGGCTGGTTGCTCGTCCATCACAGAGTTATAACCCCTCCTAAATTCTTCCGCTAGACCAATAGAGTTTGAGGGATCGATGACAAAAGAGTTGCTCATGAGTTCCGGGTTGTTGTAGGTTGCCACTATCAACTTCTCCAAACGAGATATGATCTCGAAGTCAACAGCTACTGATGTATCGTACGAAATGCCCAGCATTCTCGAGAGCAACTGACGTAACTCGAACAACTGAGGGTGGCATTGAGAAATAAAATTTAATCAATTTCATACCATAAGATTTCATTTATTTTTTGTTCAAGTGTTTGAATCCTTTTTTAAACATTAAAAATTGTAGCAAAAAATAAAAAATGTTAGGCGGTTGTTACGTGCCTGTTTGTGCTGTTTCGTTATTTCATCGAGTGTTGTTTTGGTTGCGTGGAGTTCGTCAGCCAGTTGTTGTAGTTGCTGTTTGTCTACCAATCTGTCGTCAATTTGTTGCTGCTGTTTCCTGTTCCTGTTCTCTTGTTGGCGCAACCTCATTTCCAATCTCTTTATCTCTTCCTCTCTCTCCAAGCTGTCGGTCTGGCTCAGAAGTTAGACATCCAATGAAGTTATGTTTTTTGTTATTGAATTGTAACTATACTTTATTGAATATAAGAAAATTCAGTTTTTCAACTTGAGCTGCTTTAATTATCGTAACTTTAAGCAAACGTATAAAAATGAAGAAAAAAATTTAAAAGAAAATAAAACAAATGGCGAGCTCAGCCAAATTACTTACCTTCAAATTGGTAGTTTCTACAACTCTGCTCCTTAATTGCCTTAACTCCAGGTGGGCCTCATTCAATTCAATCCTGTACTTCTCAATTATCTTCGCCAATTTATCGTTTCTAGTGACGTCATCGTCGTTGCTCAGTTTCATTTCCAGGTGCATCATGCGGTCTTCCATCACTCTCACTTTCTCTTTCAACATCTCCGATTGAGTTTCCTAAGAGAGAGAGGGAGAGGGTGAGATAGCTATTTATGTTACCGCTTCGCTACAGCTATTAAAAAATTGATATGATTGTTTCTTACATTGATATTTACGGTATTAACTTGTTAATCTCTTGTTGAGAGTGTTATATTATTACTACTACTACTTTTGAAATAGATGTTGCTAGCAAAATAGCTACTGGCACAAACCTTCAAAATCAACTGCTCTTTCAAAGATCTGACTTTCTTTTGGAGATTTTTAATGTGCGCTTTCTTGATATCATCATCGACGTCATCGCCAACAGCCGTTCTGTTCATGACATCATTGATTCTCATCACTATGTCGTCAACTATCATCTCCATGGAAACGTCATCGTTGTACGGCAACGATCGCGATGGTGACGATGACGTCATTATTAGGGATGCGCTGATTTTTCTTAGCAGACGTCTGAATTGCTGAAAAACAACAGCAACAACAACAATAACGATTATTATTATATATTATTACTAATCGTAATATTATTTATTCAACAATTTCTCACCAGCGGTGCGATTATACGTACGAAAATCAAAAGATGTTGTAAAATAAAAACATTAAAAAATAAATACACATTAAAAACTGGCGCTATATAAACATTATATATCCCTATCATATATATAGGGTACAAATATATAGGTATAAATATATATATAGAGTATAGACTACTTTTAATTAGATTAGTATATATGGTTCATATCAGGGTCGGATTTAGTGCAGGGTCGATGGGAGCTTCCACACCTGCAAATCAGTCCCTGGTTCATATTAAAAAAATTTTATTATCTACCAATTCAAGAACAGAGCAGTCTTTATGGTGATGATTATTTTCAATAAACTGATTAACAGACTCCTTCGTTTGAATTCTCTTCAATTGGTCTTGTAGGTCTTCAACCTCGCAGAGCGTATGCTTCGTTTTGTTCCTCTCCAATTTCGACTGCTGATACTGCTGGTCTAGTTCGTTTGCCAGGGTTGTTAGTTTTCGCTCCAACATGTCGATACGCTGTTGTGTTTGTTTGCTTGTTTGTTTGTGTGTGTGTGTTTGTGTGGTGCGTGTATGTGTGTGTGTGTGAGTTAACACGTACTATTTATATAACGTTACAAAACATTATACTAAATTACAGAACATAGCACACAATTACACAACATTACACAAACAAAATACCAACTAAATTTTTTTCATTAAGAATCGTTTGAATGTTCTTTATACGTTCTAGAATGGATTCCTCGTAAGGGTCAACATTGATATCAGCATCAGTTAATATGGAAGCCAGGTTTTCGCGAAACTTTGTAAATCTTATTCCTTGAATATTTTCAAAAAGATTCATTATGTTGACGCACATTTTAATCATGTCATGTTTATTTTTCTCTATTTTAATGTCCATCTACTTTTAATTCTACTCTTTTGGTTTAGATAATTCGATAAACAAAATCCTAACATAAAAAGCTAACCATCGGTGTTATAGTGCACACTGCTTCTCAACTTATCGGCCTCCAATAAACTGTTCCTCTCTCTCAACTCCTCCATATCTCTCTTCATCTGCGTCCAGGATTTTTGATTGACATCCAGCCTCTCTCTTAACACATCCACTTCTCTCTTTAATTCTTCCTGCTTTGTTATGGCTGTATCTCGTTCCTAAAATATGGAATGAAATAGTGGAATAAAGAAAAATTATATTAAAAAATAAATGGAACTCTGACCACTCGGATATTTTCAAACTCCAGGTTATTTTTAGAAATGGAATGATGACCCCTCTCGATATCATTGGTCAGCCTCATTATCGTCTGCCTGTCAACTTCGCGCTCATTTTCAAGTCCGGTCAGCAAACTTTTCATGTTTGTCAGTTTGCCTTTGAGGATTGTATTTTCTTGCATTGTTTCGTTAACCTGTGTGTGTGTGTGTGTGTGTGTGTGTGTGTGGTGTTGTGTGTGTTTGTGACATAACCTTCTCGATAATATTCTCTGTGGTCATAGATAAAGCCCCGCCCCCGGCCACATCCAACAAGAGAAGAGAGTTAGTGAGACTGTTGGTCAGTTGTTTTAATTGTTGTTCTGCTGTCTCTCTCTCTTGTTCCGCCCTCTCTCTCTCTTCCATGTGCGTCCTGTGGAAAAATACAATACACTCATCACACTTTCTCATTCAATTTTTCTCCTCATTTTCGATGAAACTTTTTTTTTTGAAAATCTCGTAACAATACCTTCATCCAATATCATCATCCAACATCACCATCTAACATCATCATTTTCATTCTCCAAACCATCATCACCTCAATCTAGATTCCAACTCCATAATTCTCTGCATTCCCTCTTTCACCTCTCTCTGAAGATTATTAATAATGACGACACTGTTATTACCGGCCTGGACACTTCCGGTTAAAGCATTTCCGGTGGAAGTTTCTAGCATCATGAGTTGTCTTTTTAGCTGTTGTACCGTCAACAAATTTTGCTCTTCCGATTCTTTGTAGGCCTCAACTGTTTGCTGCAACCTCTGAATTCGCTCTTCTTTCTGGTCTAGTTGCATCTGGAGGTCTCTTACCTGAAGTTTACGACGATTGGGATAATAATAAAAATAATTACAACAAATAATAAAAAAATAATTATAGTAATAAGAATAATAATAGCAACAAATAATAATAAATAATAATTATTATAACCTGAGATATGGAGTAATCCGTTCTGCTGTATTTCGTGGCAGTAGCATCAAATCTCTTGAAAGATTTAAATTTATTCAAAATCATTATTTTCTAGTTTATTGTGTAATATTATTTGATGTATTTATATTAAGTTATATTATTTATATTAAATTATATTAATTAACCCACGCACGAATAACTGCTTTTATACAGGACGCTCGTTGTAAGTAATTACAATTAAAAATGGAAAATCATTCTTAATCACTTAACTGTAATTAATCACAATAAATTAAAATTAACAATCGTTAACTAAAAAATAAATTAAAAAATTAATTACCGGCGGAGGCGTATGAAACCTTTTGAAAAATTTATTTTAAATTATCAATTTTTTTCATTTATAAATTGAAAGCGAAAGTCTAAAATGACATCAAAACTACATTAGCGTATCATTAATATGGTAATATCTTAACATCAAGATAACATGAACATAATATTGGCATGATATTATAACGACATGATTGAAACCCACTGGAGAAGAGAACTACGCAAGCCATGCGATACATTACATTAATGTGATGACATTAATACGACATCAACATCCCATTAGTATGACATAAGCATGACAGTTATATAGAACTAATTTCACGTTAACATGACATTACCCCATTGTTCTATCTCTTCTTGATATTTCATCTTTATACGATTTCAGTTGATCTAAAAACTATAGCCAAGGGTTATGAATTATTAAGTAAATAAATAATACAACCAAAAATAGCATTAATAATAATAATAATAATAATAATAATAATAATAATAATAATAATAATTCACTATAAAATCAAATTTTACCTGAGTTTGTTGTTTGTTAATAATAATAATAATAATTCACTATAAAATCAAATTTTACCTGAGTTTGTTCAACCAATGCCTCTTTGGAATACAGAGGATCATTTTTGAAATGATCGAATGAAGATTTTCTGCCATCATTCTCGGCGAGCCTTGGAGTGTTGATGTAAGGTAGGCTGGCATTGTTTGTAGGATTACGATATCCCCAGTATGACATTTTATTTAATTAGTATAATTAGTGTTTGTTAAACTGATTACATAATTTTATTTATTTATTTATAGTACATTTTATGATAAGCAGGATAGCTTGATTTTGCTAGTTTTCTACACGTCAAAGCGGTTTTCTACACTTTAATTTAAACTTAAATTGAATAAATTGAAATTTTTAAAAATTCATTTGCAAATTTGTGAGTTGGAATGATTGTATTAGTTTTCAATAAATTAGTTTGTGTTGCGTTTGGTTGTTTTGTTATGTCTTCATTGATGGTTGCTATGTAAGCATGTGCTTGTTACTATGACGACACGACAGCTGCTTTTCATAGCTATATATTTACTCAAACTTATTTTTAAAAATATTTAATATTTAAATAATTATATTGTTAATATAAATATTTTATATTGATAACATGAAAATTTATGACACGCCAAAGTACAAAGTTCAATACTTTTAGAAACTTATCTATCTTTGTTTATATAGCGATAAAATAGAATTTGGTTTTAAAAAGTTTAAAGCTCTGATTATTTGGATACGGATTCCGTTTATTAGTGATTACGAATAAAATCAATAAAATTATTTTGTAGTAAAAAATGTATCCTCGATATAAGGAAAATTTGAAGAAAGATTCTCGTAAGTTTTTTTCAAGTTTTTAAAAATTTTTAGAAAATTCTCTACTAACTCCCACTCCCAGTAGCTACTATCAATCAATCTTCGTTTTGCGTCCAGAGACCCGTTTTCCCGAGGTAGGACGTTGTTTTCTAGTAGCTACTAACTTTACTAAACTAAACTGAAAACTAAAGTTAAACTACTTGTACTTACAGTATTTAGTTTAAAACTAAATTTAGCTTTAGAGAGATATTAGTTGGATGTTAGAATGGTTAAAAAAGTTTTCAACTATTTTAACATCTAATACTAATTTATTTCTATTTCTTCAATTGATTAATAAAAGTTATTAATTATTAAGCTAATTAAATTATGAAATTATAAATGTCTAAGTGTCAGAATTATTATTAATTATTTTATTTCAAAATATGAAAGGAACAGGATGTTATGAGACATTTTTCACCCCAAAGAAGTCGAACGAAAGAGAGTTGCAGGCTAAAGTGAAAATACCAACAAACACCAATGGGGATGACAATAATGATGGACAGATGGTGCAAGAGTTATATGGTAGTCTATATATAATATATATATTCCTAATCTAATGGCCTAACTGTAACCAAACTTACTAATTAAAAATAATAATTTTGGTTCTTTTTTATTTATTTTGTTAGTTATCTCTTATTTGTATCAATAAGCTGTTTTCCATTATATTAAAATTTTTTTTATAATTTTGTTCTTAGTATGTCATATGAATGGGTATTTTTATTTATTTACACTTAAGTTCTATCATGTGATTTGTGTGTATTTTATATTTAAAAAAATGTAACCTGACTTCATAAAAACTCACTCAATGATCTTAAAACTCTCTTGTCTGTTTTGTATAAAATATTTTCATGCTGCTATTTTCTTATAATTATATATGATGATTAATAACATTGTTGTGGTGAATAATTTGTAAAAAAAATGGGTTTGTCGATTTATATAAACAATTTTATACAATGTTAATTTACTCTATAAATATACATAACAATATATTCATACACACCTTCATACAAACAAACAAACATACATGCATACATACTTACATACATACATACATACATACATACATACATTACATACATACATACATACATACATTACATACATACATACATACATACATACATACTTACATACATACTTACATACATGCATACATACATGCATACATACATACTTACATACATACAAATGTACATATGTGTTTAAACTGGATCTCATTTTGTAACTACTATAAATAATGTATAAAAATGTTTATGTCATCATTTCCTATACATACTTGTATCATAGTAAGAAGTATGATGCAATGATGACTCTTTTCTCTTTCTCTTTCTCTCTCTCTCTCTCTCTCTCTATATATATATATATATATATATATATATATATATATATGACCATGTATTGTACAGTTGGTCATATATTTGTGTTCTTATCTTGTTTGTCTAGAGATTAATATTAGTGGCAGTCCGTTCTGTTCGTCTTATGTCGATACATTAGAACTTTAAATACATTTATTTGAAAAATAAACTTTTAAGAATTAGTTCTTAAGTCTCAAGTTCATGAATATATTATAATAAGTAATGATTACTATTGTATTATTGTATGTATATTTATGAAGCATTGAACTGATTGGATGATTTCATTTCAAAAGGTCACAGCCATTCATTGGCCCAAGGACAAATGCAGTCATGTGATCCAGTTCAGCCAATCAGACTTCAGAATTCCTTTGATCATCATCATCATAATCACCCTATAAATGCCAACATAGGTTACAAGACACATCCGAGCAACAACAACAACAACAGCAGCAGCGATGACAACAACTACAATTGTAACAGATTCATACACTCACATTCTCTTAGCAACATATCAATGACAGATGCTGATAAACTGATGGCTGAAAGGTTTCATCAGCAACACCACCATCACATACAACAACAACAACAACAACAACATCTGCAACATCATTTACAACAACAACAACATCAGCAACAACAAAAACACTACCAAAATCAGTATGTCATCACCAACAACAACAATAGTAATCTCTATCAACATCATGACAACAACAAACTGTTTGGTGATGAACAGTTATATTCCACAGTGCTTGCTAGGCCGGTTAAATCGCCCAATCATATTGCAGGATTTCAAAAATTACATTCCACTCCTTTTTCTAATAACTATTCATCGGGATTGAACGCTCCTGAGCCACCATCATTATCATTACCACATCCGTCATCGTCATCATCATTGATGCTACCACCATCGTCGTCGTCGTCATCATCATCTCCGTTATCGTCATCTTGGATGAGGAAGTATGATAAACTTTTGTTGATGAAAAGCCTCCAGGTTTGATGTGTGGTGATGAAACTTTTTTGTTCTCTAGAGATTCTGATGATGTTGCTTATTATAAGATGTGATGATGATGACGATGGTGGTGATGATGATGATGATGGGGTGATGATAGTAAGGGTGATGATGACGTTTTCGTGGTTGTTGATGATGATGATGATGATTTAATTTTCACTTCCATTCAATTTTATGTTTTGTCACACTTGTCATATATAATTTAGTCGTCAATTAGTCATAATTACTGATGATAATAATGATAATAAATATATTAATTATAATAAATAAATAAATATTAATAATATTATTATTATTGTTATTATATAGATGGCTCCACCATCACCATCGATGCTACCATTACCATCATCTTTATCACCAGCAACACATGTTAATGTAATCCAAAACATTGCTGATGACATCATCAGGAAGAAAGATGAGATCATTATCAGGTAATAATAATCATGACGATGATGAGGATGATGATGATGACGATGATGATGACGATGATGATGATGATGATTCAATTCAATAAGGTCTTTATTTGTCTGAAATAGATGCTGGGGGCCTGAAGTTTAACTTTAAATAATAATAATACTAATATTAATAATAATAATAATAATTTTTTTTTATTAACCAGCCAGAAGCAGAGAATTGATGAATTAGAGTCCCGTTTCATTATCGATTCGTCTTCATCATTGTCATCTTCGTCGTCGACGTTGTCATCATCTGCCATGCTGATGGTTGGTTGTGTTTGTTTGTTTGTTGGTGTGTCTGTGTATTGTTCCTTTGTATATTTGTTGGTTCGTACGTCTGTGTTGTTTGTTTGTTGTCTTTGTATGTTTGTTTGTTTTTATGTTATATATTGTTGGTTTGTTCGTTCGTTTGTTCGTTCGTTTGTTTAGTAGCTCGTTTGTTCATTTGGAGTAGTTATGAGTATTAAATTTTTATTGAATAATTTAGGAACTACACAAAGAAAATGAGCTCTTGAAGCAACAACTGAACAACAACAATAGCAGTAGCAACAGAAATTTATCCTCTTCTGTCCTACTAGAAAAACAACTCTGGTTAGTTTCCTTGATTTGTGGCTATTCAATTAAGTAATCAATTAGTATTCAATTAGTATCCAATTAGTTGGTTAATGAGTTAATTAATTTGTTTTAACTATGTATTATTTACTTGTTTGTTTGTTCGTTCGTTCACTCATTCGCTCGTTTGTTCGATTGTTTGTTTGTGGATATAATTTTGCTAGTAATTATGATAATTACGATTGAATTCAATTTTTAGATGATATATACATTATTATTATTAGTAGTAGTATTATTATTAATTATTTTTATTATCATTAATTATTCTTAATTTTTAATCAGCGCTCTGGAATACGAGTTAAGTGAGATGAAGATGAGCAAGGAGGTGGAGGTAGAAGGAAAGATGGAAGAGATATCTAAACTAGAAAAAGAGGTAAGCGTCATCATCATCATCATCATCGTCGTCGTTGTCGTTATCATCATCTTATCGTTATCATCATCATTATCATCATTTTCATCATCATCATCATCAATAACAACAAATCAATAGCTATCAAATAAGAATGATGAATTGGACGCGTTACAGAAGAAGTTATCTCAGCAGCAGCAGCAACTTCAACAGCTGCAACATGAACGAGAGAAAAATATGAAGTAGTAGTAGTAGTAGTAGTAGTAGTAGTAGTTAGTAGTAGTAGTAGTAGTTGTTGTTGTTGTTTATGTTGTCGTTTTCATTTTTAACAAACACACAGTGCAAGTAAATACTCTCGATAGCTTGGATCTTTTTGCAGTCGAATCTGGTCATTGAAATAGCGGTGCCAGGCACTTTACCGCTAAGCCGTCGCGCCATTATCATCATCATCATTATATTTTTTATAACTGTATTATTATTTTATTATTATTATTTGTTATCAATATTGTTTTTATTTTAAGATACATGTCTAGTCTGCCATCTGTCGAGGAAAATGATCGGAACATTTTTGA